TGGCCATGGATGAATTCATCACGACTTTTGATGTGACCCGAAAGCAGCAGAAGGGCATCCGTGTTTCGAAGGTCCCGGAGCATCCTCTTGAGGATGACAGCTTCGATATGCGTAAGTTGTCATTGCAGGCTTTAGGCCATGGCCCTGAGATCAGAGATCTTCCAGCGACTGCAAGCGCAGAGCTTATCAAAGCTATGAGCCCGTCTTTCTTCGGCATCGATGCAGGCTACGACAAGGTGAGTGGAGAATACCTCGGCTTGCCCGTGCTGCGGCTCACCGCCTATGGCACACGGAAGGTCGTCCTCACGGAGATGCTTCAGTTGGTGAACTTCATGGTCAACAAGAAGGGCATCCAGGGCAACATCACGGTCGCTCGGTGCTCTTCCTTCTTCAAGTGCATGGGGCCACAAGTCTTGAAAGAGTACAAAGAGCAATCTTTGCTCTTCACAGGCACGATCGCCAAAGGTGATGTGTTGTACCTGCCATGTGGATCCTTGTGTGCTGAGTATGTCACAGAGGTCACGGTCGGCTACCGGCTACCGGTGTTGCTGAATGAGAGCGTGATCGACAAGAACATTATGGCCACCTTGACTCGCAAGACGGAGGAGTTGAAGGCTGCGGCGTCATCCAGCTCAGATTCGAAGAAGGCCGAGATGGACTTGAAGCTCTTGGAAGAGTGGATTGGTGCGGCGAGAACCAAGTTAATCCCCCCGGTGCCCCCATCAGCTGAGCCTCGTGCCGAGGAGCCAAAAAATTCCGAGCCACCTCGCAATCCACCTGAGCCTCAGGCTTCGGCTTGAGGCTGAGTCTTTCAAGCAGTGTTGCCACTGCTACGACATCAGAGTTTTCCGATGGAGGGCCGCGTGTCGCATCATATCCAGTGTCATTGTGCTTGTTGTGAATAGTTTTGCTAAATACTCCAAAATATAACTTAAAGCCCCGCTCTTTACAGGTGCACTCCAACTCAGAGAATCGGATCGCTGCGGCCCGTCCGTCTTCTGCTTTTGCTTGAAACACGCACCCATGTCGATGGAGAAACACGCTTGCAGTTGCTCTCCAGCACAGGTTTCAGGTCCCAGGTGTCAGTGACATGTGCATGCCCGGAATCGCAAGCCGCAAGCTTCACTCCCACGAGTCCGTGCCAGGCGAAGCTGATGTGAGACGGGTCGGTACCGAAAAGTTTCACGTTGAGCTTTCAGCCCTCCAGTTCAATCACTGTTCCAAAGCCCAATTACGTAATAACTTATAAATAGTCCCTTTAGGTCCTTTGAAAGCCAAGCTGCTCAAGCCTCGACAAGAGACTTCAAACCCGGCGTGTGAAATAACTGATAACGGTTTGCTCGTACAATGCGCATCCGGGGTGTGGTTGTTTCAGTTGCCGAGCCAGTTTGCATTCTTCAGCTTCGAGGTTGCAGCAGAGGCTCGCGGAACTTTCGAGCTCTCAGGGCTCGGTATCGCTCGAGTGTAGGTTGCAGGTGTTGGAAGGTTCAGGCCATCAAAGTCTGTATATCCCATCACCCATGCCACCCCAACTGTCCGCAACTTGTCAACACACTCAATGATTTCGTTATTGCTGCCGCTTGATCAGGCAGGTGTCAGAACTTTGATTTCGGGCACTCGAGAAATCATTCGCGCAAGCTTTTCAACACATGACAATCTTGCGGGGCTTCGCCCCATACCGCCTTTTCTGGGCTTCGCCCGTACCGCCTTACTCCGGTATAGGTTCTTCTGGAATCGCATCCCGAGTTTGCAGTTTGTAGTCCCAACCCGTTTGGATGGCTTCTGAATCGTTATATCGGTCGTGCCAGTCGTGTTAATATACTCTTCTCGGCGGCCTATGCTTGCCAATCAGCCTATTGGTGATTGTTATTGATGTTTTTTGTGTAGCTGGTTCTTGATGTGGTATTTGTGCTCATCGATACTCATAGGTATGGGTTTTGATCCCACTGTGGCAAAGTAGCAACAGGCACTAGCCAGAGCATCGGGTACAATTCCATCAGGGTTGAACCGTCGCTGGGATATTTATACTGGGGGCATCTTCAGAACACCTCTTGGGCCGTCAACGGCCATCAAGAAAATGTTCCAACATGCCCCGTGGTTTTATACAGCAGCACCGAGCGGTGCAAGACTTGCGAGGGCTGTCCCGCGTTTAGCAGGCTGCCCCTAGGATTGATCAGCAAGCTCTGCAGCTTGCTGCTGCGAGCTGGCAATTTGCTTGGCAGCACCGAGCGGTGCAAGACTTGCGAGGGCTGTCCTGTGTTTAGCAGGCTGCGCCTATGAGTCTGACCAACAGGCTCTGCAGCTTGCTGTTGCGAGCTGACCCTTTGCTTAGCAGTCTGGTCATCAGGTTCTGCAGGCTGACCTGGGGCTGATTAGCAGGCAAAAAAAACAACAAACATAACACAAAGCACAACAAAAGATATTATCCACCTGTCGCAACTTCGGGGAAGGCTGTGACTCTGTTCCTCTTCTGGCCTGTTGGTACGCTGCTCTCAGCCGGGCCGTGCGTGACCCATTTGCATAAGTGTTGCGCAGCTGTGGGCATTGTACCCGCTGAATAGGTGCAGGCGCTTTGCACCTGCTTTCAGGGTGTTTTGTTTAAGCTTAAAGCTTGACCATGCGGTCTTACATTTCAGTGGACACATCACTTTTGGTGCGTGCGTTGTGCCGCTCGTAGAGTTGTGATCTCGTCACCTCGTCACTGTGTTTTCTGTGCGGGCGCAGGTTGCAGCGTCAAGTGATGCCGACGTCGCTGGCGACATCAGCAAGTTTCAGGCCCAGCTGCGAAGTGCAGCAGATGGTGCGCTTGCTGCCATGTTCTGGCGTATTTGCGCAGACAGCTGGTGACAACAGTCACGTGCGGCCTCAAAAGCGCGATGTGCAGCAATCGCAGCTTCTGATTCGGTAAAAAAAAACCTTGCTAATCTGTGTGTGGTCCTGTCAGCAGTGCGGTATAGAATCAGCTGCGACCTGTGCAGCCGACCCATAGCATTGTGGCGCATGTGTTGCAATCTTTCTATGAAGGATCAGGGGTTACGTGTGTCGTTGCCGACTTCGGTGCCGACAGCAGTTACGTGCAAGCACGCATGTGCTAAGGTTAACTCCGAAGATGGCTCTTGGCTGCCCCTTTGTGAAGCCTCTGCTTGTGTTTAGGGCTTGCTTTGATGATCGACGGCCACGTGATGCTACGTAGCTACATGTGCAATTTTGCTTCATGCGCGCTCTTGCCGAAGCGCCATCCTGTTGGCTCTAATGGTGACAGAGATGCTCTGGAGTTTTGGCGGCACATTCACAGCCATTTTTTCGTGATGCATCATTTAGGCCTTGATGCGAAAATTGTTTGGGGCAGTGACAGTCACAGTTGGGCGAATTCTGTGCAAATGTGCTGCTACTCGATTCCAGCCGCTACATGCAAACACTAAAGGGTCTGGTGCTTTCGAGCCCTTTCTTGCTGACAGACCCATGTTGGGTTGGTGGCATGACGATGCAGATGTGCGACCTGTCTCTTCCGTCCAGCTGCGCTACATATGAACACTACGGGTTTTATTAGATGCTTTTACAAGTGAATGTCTTGGTTTTTGGAATAATTAGCAACAGTGTTGCTGCAAGTTTCAGCTGAAGATCCTGCGACGTGCCATTGGCTTGCAGATTCTCGGCTCGACAGCAGGTTCGTACAGGAGCAGCTGAAGCATATGCAACAGATCCAGTTTCCCAAAAAGGTGCACATAGGTGCACTTGCTGCCTTCCTGGGCGATTTTTCCATGTTCGTTTTGGGACGCTGATGTGGTTGGTGGTGACAGCACTGCCATGCAGGAGCAAATGCGGCATGCCCAACAGCTCCAAGTGTTTGTAGATGCATGTGCTGCAGTCTGACACTGGCTCTGGTGACAATTGACATCGGTATCGCAGATAGTGGCTTTTACTGATGCAGCTCGGCAAGTCCGTGTGACCGATCTAGAGCCACTTCTGGTGATTCTGCCCCTGGCGGCGGCAGCAGCGCCGCAAGGAAGCAGACGACGCATGTGCAACAGATCAGGATTGCTTTGCTGCATTTGCTGCTAACCTCGGCAAGGTTGTGCGTGTGAGGGTCCAAGGTCTGCTTAACTAGGTTTTAGGCCTTTAACAACTCTCTGAAGACCCTGCCTAACGGAAAACGTATGTGTCTGTTAGGTTGGGTATTAAGGTCCGGAGCAAGACAGGGGGGCACCCTTTAGAACATCCGACCTGGTGGACTTTCGTAGTTGTGTAGTCACCGGACCTCGTAAATGCAGTGGCGATGGTAGTCCCATGCAGTTGCGGCTGAAGGAGGCGCAACAGCTGCAAGCTGCCAGTAATACATTTTGTACGGGAGGAGCTGCAGATTTGCATCACGTTCAAGCTACAAGTCGTCCCGGGTGCCTTTTCTGATCACGTGGGATTATCCTTTGGCGGCGGCAGCATGCCGTACGGGATCGGCGGCAGCATAGCAGCATGTTCGTGGCCCACACTGATGCAACCGCTGCAATCCTGGGCGACAGATTTGTGGTCACTTGGGGTGATGCAGTCCCTGGGCGGTGCAGGCTCTGGCATCCTGATTGGTGTCACCTTTCTATCGGCGAAGCCTGCGAAGATTCCTGAGTTGCGCATTGCCACGCATTGCTGATCCGGGGTCCCCAACATCACACAAGCCTTGCGGTAATTCCTGTGTGGCAGCACACGCTATGCGTGGCATCTGGCTCGACGGTTGTCGTTTCATGCAGGTCCTCAACATGCTCCGCTAATGCTGGTGTTGACGGGCGAATGCACAAGCCTGCTTCTGTAGCTGGGACGGCACGTCCCAACTCAGTGTGGTGGCACACGTGCGGTCACATGCACCTACCGATACCCGCCTACCGCCAGCACGTTTGCGGCATCTTCGTCCGGTTGTGCGCCTCTGGCCCAACATGCATGTGTGCACTTGAGTGCGTGATTGCTGTAGGCTTCTGCATTCTGTATATGTTTTCTCAGCTCTTTCTGCTCTCATGTGGGAGAAATTCCTGGTAGCTCTGACTGTCCTCCTGGGAAAGGGGCTTGAGCCATCTCGCTTCGTGCCGCTGGTCAATCAGTGCGAGTGCGATTGCCGCTGTGATTGTGGCACGACCGAAGAGTTCGAGTCTCCCCGCGAGGCGGGGGTTCCAGGCTGGATTTTGCTGATTTGCGCTGCCGTGGCCAGTCATCTGCTTACCATTGCTTTAGCGTTTCGGATAGCCTCTCGAATTTGGAGCCCGAGCCGCACCTCGGAGTCTGTGACGGGAAATAGCGTCAGGAGAAGAGGTCCGAGCATGGAGCTCGGTAGTCTGCTCCGCGTTTGGTACACTGATGATGACGTGTGGCATGAGCGCATAGTCCTGCTTCATGGTGACGGGGATGACATGTACTGGGTTGTGACGCCAGACTTGGATGTGTATGAGGAAAACCTTGGGGGCAATGCAGTTGATGGTCCTGAACGGGTCCGAAAAGTGGCCCACGGTGCTCGCAGCCGATACAATCGGCCCATCTACCGCTTCAGGGATGTTGTGGACAATGCTTTCGTGTCGAAGTACATCAAGGAAGCTTGGCGCGAGCACGAAGGGCTTCACGGAATGCCTCCTGAGACTGAAGGCGTCCAGGTTCACTTGCCGGACGGTTTTGTCAAGGATCTCGTCAGCTTCGGACCTCGTTTTCGGGTACGTGAGAAAAGCGCCCCAGGTACACCGACCCGACCAGCGGTTGTTGATGCGAGGGCCGCCTCCTCAGGTGCGGGCGGTTCACCGCCTGTCGACTTCGAGACCTGGGTTGTCATGTACCAGAGCAATGGGGAGGGGCTTGGCGAGCAAGTGGTCCCTCCCAAAGACGCCGGCCTGCTCAGAACCGAAGGCCGCTGCTACAAGATCTTCGATAGAGAGGGAGTTGTGTGCTTAGTCCAGGGCTGCTCGCCGGAGGAAGCTCACAGGGTAAGCCTTGCAGCCAAAGAGCAGTCGCGAGATAGAGATCGGGAGGAGCGAGATGTTCGAGTACTCCCGGTGCTGTTCGATTCGGCTGACGAACGATGGAGAACCTTGGGAGAGGCAATCCCCGACTACGAGGAGATTGAGTATGAAGATTTCCCGTTACAAGGACCGAGGACAATGTATCGGGACCTCAAGCAGCTGCGGCGTCTTGGCATGAGCTTCGTGCAACATCATGAGAGCTGGGTGCGGAAGTCCGGGGTGCGCAGTTCAGACCGCTCTATCTATGAACATTCCACTCTGTGCCGTTCGCTGGACTACATGGCGAGCTATGACCAACTCAATTTGCCAGCCCTTGCATGTGCCGAGGCTCTGAATCGCCGCCGAGCTTTGATAGAGTTGGCGCACCAGGGGCGGCCCGAGGCGCCCAGCTACGAGGCGGCGGAGGAGGTGCTCGGAGTGAGGGAGTCTGGCGATGGAAGTGTGGTGGATCCAGCTCTTACGCAGCATGCTGCAAAGCGACAGGCTGCAAAGGCTGAGGTGCTCAAGCAAACCAGGCTTGCCGCGGAAGAGAAACGGCACGCTTACCGGCGCAGTGAGGAAGAGAATGGTGGTGCAGAGCGTCCTGGAAAGGGCAACGGCAAGAAGAAGAAGGATGAGCAGAACGCCCCCTGAGCCGGGGGCCGGCCGTGCTTCTGAGGGTGCAGGGGGCATGGCCGGAGTTTTTCACGGCACTCATTCGATTTTCCACGAGCCGGAGACCAGACATGGCGACCTTTTCCCACTTCCTGTGGCTGGTGATCTCCGGGGTTTTGCTGGGAGTTTGAGTTCGTTGAGTTCTCGGAGGGCGCGCCAGCGTGTCCTCAAACGCCGGCTTTTCGAAGACCGGCAACGCGGGACGCTTTGGGCTTTAAACCACCTGGCCGGTTTTGATGACGAACGGCTATGGCCGAGTTCTCCAAGGAATCAGGCTCAATCGTCCGTTATTCGCAGGGTGAGGGATGTGCATGTACAGAGGCCGCCCCCACCACAGAAGTTGAGTCCGCAGGCAGCGCTTCGGCAGCTGCTGCTTAAGAAGGCGGGGTCCGCATACTCTGAGGTCCTGCCAGGGCAAGTCGCGACGTATGTCAGGGAGAGAGTGTCGCTTCCCCGTGATCAAGAGGAGCCCGTGCCCTTAGAGACCCTGCTGCCTCACACTGAGAAGGAACAGTTGCGGGACTTTAAGACCCACATGATGCTCAGTGATGAGGAGATCGCCGGGGTCCTGGAGAAGGGTTTGGTTGGTGATAGGTATATGGACCCTCGCCTGGAGGGGGGAGGGCGAATCTATCACGAGTTTGTGGCCGACTTGATTGAGAGCAAGTTGGTCGGCTTCACCACCACTCCACGGGTACAGGTAGGCGCTTTTGTGGTCACGAAGAAGGGTCAGAAACAGAGGTTGATAATTGACGCTAGACGCACGAATAAGCTGTTTCGGAGTCCTCCTTCAACGGTGCTGGGTTCGATGGACAGTTGGACTCGTCTAGGATGTGCCCCGGATGCCCAGCTGTTCATCGCTCAGGAGGATGTCAAGGATTACTTCTACCGACTCAAGATCACAAAGGAGCTGGGCGAGTACTTTGCTCTTCCTAAAATAGACCCGACTCAGCTGAAGGAGATCCTCGGCTACATTCCCTCGGAGCTACAAGGGCTGATCGACACGTCCCAGGCCCCGATTTACCCGCACATGATCGTTCTTCCGATGGGGTTCTCTTGGGCATTCCATCTTGCACATGTTGCGCATGTGGAACTCACTCGGCGTACCCTACCGAGCGCTCGGATCGTGCAGGACAAGAGGCCTGCGCCAGTGATGGGCAAGTCCTCGGAGTACTGTCGGCAGGCCGCCCTGGTTTATGCCGACAATGGAAATCATCTAGGAGTGGACCGGGAGAGTGTACGGCGTGATCAGGGGCAGATGATGGATGCGCTTCATTCGCACGGCCTGGCTACACATGATTTGGTGGAGAGCTCAACACTGTGCGAGAGTTTGGGAGTCAGGATCGATGGTCTCGGGGGTGTGGTGCAGACAACCCCGCTCCGAGATCATCGATTAGATCAGGCTTTGTTAGGGTGCAGCATGTCACTGCGCTTCTCGGGCGAAGAGCTTCAGGTCCTGATCGGGCATCTTACCATGAGAGCTCTTCTTCACCGAGGCCTGCTGAGTGTGCTCCGGCATGTCTATGTGTTCATTGAGCAAAACTACTCACGGAGAACTAAGCTGTGGCCGTCAGTGAAGCGAGAGCTCGAAATGTTCAGGTGCCTCATGGTGTTGGGATACAGTGACATGCGAGCTCAGTGGCATCCCGAGGTGTATTGTACGGATGCTTGCTTGACGGGCTATGCCGTGATGAAAAGGGTTTTGCCGCAAAACCTCGTGAGGCAGTTGGGCTCCCAGGATGAACGGTGGAGGTTTTATCGTGGGTCTGGGCCTCGTCTTGCACCTCGAGTCGCCGCTTTAGCAGAAGCTGATGTTTTCAGTGACATTTTGACTGTGAAGCCGGAGGTTGAGGGAGAAATCCTGGGAGACTGGGAAACCAATCCAGACTTCCCCGAGGTTCCGAGTGGAGTGCTTCGATCCGAAGACTGGGCGCGAGCCTGGAGCGCTCCTTTCGGCTACAAGGAGCCGGTGCACCTGTTGCAGGGGCCGGAGCATATTAGCAACTATCAAGCATGCGGGTCGTGATGCCAGAGTCCATGGTAAGCACCTGCTTGTGTTGAACGACAATATAGGGGTGGTGCTAGCGTTGCAGAAGGGTCGCTGTAGCAATTTTGGTCTACTGCGTATCCTCCGCCGCACGCTGGCTTATAGTCTGGCCTGTGGCATCCGGATACATGCAAGATGGGTCGCATCAGAGTTGAACGTGGCTGATGCCGATAGCCGGCGCTGGGAGCCGAGGCTCCACCGACGGGACCATGAGACCCCAGGCAAGAGGCCAGAAGAGAAAGATCGAAATCTTCACGAGAGCGGAGGTACGGAAGGCCAACCGGAGGTGCCGCAGTCCGCATCCGCTCGATGTGGAGGAATCCTTCATTCGCAGCCGCAGCCGATCCAGGCTGCGGGACCCACCCAGTGGGAGGCTGCAGTTTCCGGCCCTGATAGCGCTGTCCGACTACGCGGACGACCTGTTCTTGAATGGGGAAGGTTCCAGTTATGGCCAGAAGCTTCAGGCGGCGCTGGAGTTTTGGAGACCGGAGGCGGCTCGAGAGGGCAGCCTGAAGCTTCCCAGATTCAAAAGGGCGCTCAAGGGTTGGCGTCGTATGGCGCCCAGCCAAACCAGGCTCCCTATGATCGAATACGTGAAAAGTTCGGTCTCTGGAATCCTGCTTTGGAACGGCCAGAAGGAGATGGCAGTCTTCAACGAGGTGACCTATTCGACATACCTCCGGCCCGGAGAAGCTCTCAAGCTAAAAGCAGTGGACTACGTTCGTCGTGCTGGCGCCCCGACCGGGTACCCGCGCTCCATCCTGGTCTTGGCCCCATTCGAGAGGGGGGAGAGCAGCAAGACGGGGATTTTCGACGAGGTAGTCATCTTGGACGACACCAGGGTGCCGTGGCTGGAGCAGGTCTTGGACAGACATGTCAATCAGCGCATCCGCGCTCACGGCGAGGATGCAGATCTTTGGGGTTTCAATGCAAAGCAGTATCTTCAAGAGTGGCGCAAAGCAGTGGAGGCGCTGCAAGTCCACGACTTCGCCACGAGCCCCTACCAGAACCGTCATGGAGGGGCGAGTCGAGACCACCTTCTACGCCTGAGGAGTGTACAGAGCATTCAAAGGAGGGGGAGGTGGGCTACCGACTCTTCGGCCCGTATCTACGACAAGCCAGGCAGGCTGCAGCAGATGGTGACCCGCCACTCGAAATGGGCGGATTTTGGCGAACATGTTCGCAAGCACTTCCTGGACTTGTACCTCAACAACACCTGCCAGCTTCCAGCAGCGCTTCGCAAGCAGGTTGCGAAGCTTTCACAGGCAGGACAATGCTGAGTCTGTTTGGGGGCACGTCTGAGGTAGCCAAGGCCTTCGCCAGAGGTGGAGGCGCTGCATTCGTTGTAGATTTGGCTCACTCTCCAAAGAACGATCTCTCTAGGCTGTCGGCATGGACCTCGATCTGCAAAGCCGTTTCCAACTTCGACGTGCTGGGTATTTATATATTCCTTGCAATACCTGGTCTAGAGCACGCAGAGCACCGAAGGGTTCAAACATGCCACAGCCTCTGAGAGGCGATCTGCCCGACACAGTGCTAGGACTTCCAGGGCTTCGCGAGCTAGATCGAGAAAAAGTCGTACGTGCCAACAACATGCTTTTTGGAGCATACAAGCTGATCCGCAAGTGTCTGCGGCTGGGCATTCCTGGATACATAGAGAACCCTGTCAGTTCCCGTATCTGGAAAACCCGTCAAATGCAACGCCTGCTCCAGGACACCCGCGTCCAGCTCGTGAAGACGGACATGTGCATGTACGGAACCCAATGGCGAAAGCCCACTGCCTTACTGCTCTGGCTTTGCAAAGATGCGCATTTCTTGAGGTGTCATGGTTCAAGTGTCTGCGAGCGTACCTCAAGGCCGCATCTGCAGCTTACGGGCATGCAAGGCAACAAGTTCGTTACAGAGCTAGCGCAAATTTATACTCGTCCTTTTGCTGAAGAACTTGTTCGGCATCTGCGCTGACTATTTGTGGCCCACCCTCACCACCCTGAGCCATTTTGGACATGGGGGTGGGAATCAGTGTGACCAGAGGTCATACTAACGAGCAGCGAGCTCAAATTTCCCCGGAGGTGATGTTCTCGCTGAGCAGCTCGTTGTCTACAGATCGTCATGCTGAGTGCGTGCACAAAAGTATGCGTAGGAGATGCGTCTAGTCTGGAAGCCGGAAGCATGTATGCACTTGAGTGCGTGATTGCTGTAGGCTTCTGCATTCTGTATATGTTTTCTCAGCTCTTTCTGCTCTCCCGCCCACCCGCCCGGGAATCAGTGTGACCAGAGGTCATACTAACGAGCAGCGAGCTCAAATTTCCCCGGAGGTGATGTTCTCGCTGAGCAGCTCGTTGTCTACAGATCGTCATGCTGAGTGCGTGCACAAAAGTATGCGTAGGAGATGCGTCTAGTCTGGAAGCCGGAAGCATCCTTATCCTTGTTGTGGCAACCGCCAACAGCTTGAGCTTTCAAGTCTGCCATGAACCTGTGGGTTAGTACCGCTGACGGTGCGTGGTTGCTTCGCTTCCCCCGTCAGTGAGGGCTGGCCGTAGGCACGGGTCAAAAACCGGGGTTGTCTTGCTCAGGCCGCACTAGTGAGATAGAAACAGCTGCTGAACTTTCCTGGTATGCTTCAGTCTTCGCTTCGCTTCTACCATGCTAAAACAAAAAAGCAGCAAGAAGTCTGTGGGACAGTACCGCTTGCGGCGCGCGGTCGCCTCGCTTCGCCCGTGAGTGTGGGCTGTCCAGCATCACAGGCTGTAAAACAAAAAAACAAAAAAGCGCTTTTGGCCCTGCTTGGTGGTACCGCCGGCGGTGCGCGGTCGCCTTGCTTCCCCCGTCGGTGAGGGCCACCTTTTTCCAGCGGGGCGGGCTGCAGAAGGCATGGGCTGTGGGCATTCAGCATCGACGCACTTCGAACATGCGGCTTTTTTTTCGCCGAGTAGATCGGTCAGGGCTCAGTTTCCTGGGATCGTGCCTGATAGCTCCCTAGTCATGCTTTGTCATCGTGCAACGTTGTCAACTTGAGACTTGTGGCTCTGAAGGTTGGCCTTGCTGGCTTGCGGCATTCCAGTCAACCGAACACGTCTTTACTTTGGCCTGATTGAAAGCATTCGGTCTCTTTCCTTTTCCGCGGCAGTTTCATACTTGGCGACTTATGCATCGAACTCTAGCTTGCTTTGCTTCAGACTTCGCAACTGCTTCGTTCGACCACCACGTAAAAGGAAGGAGTCCGTTGTCTGTGTGAGTGCATAGCCGAACCCTGAACAAATCCAGTTTGTGCCCTGCTGTAGAAAGCGGCTGTAGCTTCTGGTTGTGAACGGTATTTGTGTTTACTCAAACGTGTTTACAACAGAGCTATAACGCTTCATGTACATTTGAATGCTTGGTGATTTTACACTGCTAAAGCCGCTTTGCTCAGCAGTAGCTTCACACATGTTGTTGCAGCAGACATGTGGGAGCTTTACGTTTTTTCACCCACCCGTCCCTCCCTGTGAGGGCCTTTGCGTCCTGGGCTTCGCCTCAAGATGCATTTGTCGCCTGTAGGCTATCTCATGTTTGTGATATCATAGCTCTTTGCTGGCTTTTGTCGTTGTTGTGGACGTACTGGCGACTTATGCATCGAACTCTAGCTTGCTTTGCTTCAGACTTCGCAACTGCTTCGTTCGACCACCACGTAAAAGGAAGGAGTCCGTTGTCTGTGTGAGTGCATAGCCGAACCCTGAACAAATCCAGTTTGTGCCCTGCTGTAGAAAGCGGCTGTAGCTTCTGGTTGTGAACAAAACGGCTCTGCATCAAATCACGTGGATCGGAGACCTCTGAACTTCCGTGAGCCGTCGGAACTTCCGGCTCGAGCTGAAGCATCTCGCTTTGTTTAGTTTCAAATATCCGCAGAAATGCAGCAAGCCATGCTGCGGCTGATCGTTTTGATCTCGCCAGTGCTGGCAATGAAGACCAACACGCAGAGGACCGCCCCTTTCGATGTGCTCGAAGGCTCCAACCTCACAGGCGAAGATGCCAAGGTGCTGGAAGACATTGTGTTGAAGAATGCGCAGCATGACCTCAAGCAGGCAGCGGAGGTGCCGAGCCCCGAGACGAACGACACCGAGGGCCTTAGTGGGAACCGCACAGAGAACGCGAGCGCCACCAACAGCACCGGAGCGATGGACGGCCTCGCAGAGAACTTGGAGTTCTTTTTTCTGAAGGCACCGCCCCATGCCCAACCCCAAGCCCTCGAGGCTCCAAGGGGCGGGGAACCCCATTAAAAGCTTCAGCTACATGAGACTTTAGGAGACACAGCCTCTTTAGACATCGTGCCTCTCGGTCCCCACCCAAGAAACACCCGGCAACTTGTCAAGGTGGCCCAGCTGGAGCCTTGGCAGCATTCAGTGGGGTCTTCAATGGGTCAGCAGGAACACAACTCTCTGAGCTGAGCATGAACTCGATGAGGAGACGGTGGTCGAGCTCCAACAGCTGGAGATTCGAAGCTGCCACGAGAAGATCGGCAAGTTCGAACATATCCTGGGGATGGAGACGGCCAAGTTGTCCTTGCTGGAGCTGCAGCAGAAGGAGCAGCAAAGGACCCAGCAGGCACAGACGATTTTTCAGAGAGTCGTGAAGAAGCATCATCACCAGCGGGAGAAGAAGACCTTCGTCACGCCTGTGAAGACCACGGAGGGAGAGGCCCATGTGGAGCCTTTGGAGCCCAGCAGCCTCCTAAGAGAGCGCCAAGAGAGGAGTGCCGGCAGGGCCGAGCAGGGCAAACACAGCAGCAAATGGGGCTTTATTGGAGACGCCGTGAACACCGTAAAGGACACAGTGGAGTCAGGTACAGGCCTAGTCGGAGATGCTCTTGGCGATGCCTACGAGGCGGCGACCGACAAGATTTCTTTCGTGGCCGACACCGTCATCGACACTGTGGAGAAAGCCATCGACATCCTCTCGCGGGGCTTCTCGTCCTGGGGTGCCTCTTGCAAATGGGAGGAACCAGAGATCCATTTTGGCGCATCGGCGGGTTCCATAAAGTTTCCGGGAGCTCTTTGCCACATCACTCTGATGGGGCAGAGAATCAAGCTCTTTGACTCGCGTTGGAGCAAAGGCTTCTGGAGCGCGCCGTTTACGACGGCCATGCAGTCAGTGGTCAGAATGGGCAGTGAGCTCACGGAGTGCGTGCAAACAGGGATCAAGATAGTCATTTGCCTTGCCGAGAAGATCATCTACCATATGCCCTGGTCGTCCGTCGATGTGATGCAGCGATGGCTTGAGCGCCAATCCGGGGCGCTGAAGTCTGTGGTCACCATGGGCAGTGAGCTCACGAGCTGCGCACAAACAGGGCCCGGCATAGTCGCATGCCTTGCCGGCAAGATCGTCGACGTCTTACCCTTGGACTCCCTCATTGGCCGTTCCAATCCCCTGCAGTCAGTGGTCAAACTGGGCAGTGAGCTCACAACCTGCGCACAAACAGGGCCCGGCATAGTCGCATGCCTTGCCGGCAAGATCGTCGACGTCTTACCCTTGGACTCCCTCATTGGCCGTTCCAATCCCCTGCAGTCAGTGGTCAAACTGGGCAGCGAGCTCACGAGCTGCGCACAAACAGGGCCCGGCATAGTCGCATGCCTTGCCGGCAAGATCGTCGACGTCTTACCCTTGGACTCCCTCATTGGCCGTTCTAATCCCCTGCAGTCAGTGGTCAAACTGGGCAGTGAGCTCACGGAGTGCGTGCAAACAGGGCCCAAGATTGTCATTTGCCTTGCCGAGAAGATCATCTACCATATGCCCTGGTCGTCCGTCGATGTGCTGCAGGGATGGCTTGAGCACCAATCCGGGGCGCTGAAGTCTGTGGTCACCATGGGCAGTGAGCTCACTACCTGCGCGGATGCAGATGCCCAGGGCCTTGTGTCGTGCCTGGGTAACAGGATCATCCAGTACGTGCCGCCTTTGAGCCACTTGAACCACATGGGCGACATCCTCGCCGACTTTCTGGAGGGCTTTGCGAAGGTGGCGGCAACTGTGGCTGGACAGGTCTTGAAGGGCGGAAGCTCCATGATCCAAGAGGCCGCCAAGTCGCAGTTTCCACCCGCCGGGGCCGCACCCCTGGTGCATCACTCCGGCCACGGCCAGAGTCTCCTCATCAAGACCCACACTCAGGAGCACAAGACCCTCTCAGCTTTGCAGACAAAGTCCGAGCAGGAGGACGCCGGCTTCGGCTTCAAAATCCACAAAGACTCGGGCAACTACCAGTCCAAGCTCATCAGTCAGCGCCACGGCAGCACACGGGGCACACTGACACAGGCTCATTCTTATACATATATATATACATACACACACACACACACATATACAACATACTATATACACTCCCTCCCTCCCCTCCCTCCGCCCTCCCTCCCCTTCCCTACCCTCCCCTCCCCTCCCCTAGCGGTCATGTAGGAAACGAAAGGTGTTGGGCCCTGTTCAGGTTCAATGGCTACGAAAAAGACACGAGCTCCTGCTTGGCTTTCGCACCCAAGAACAAGAGGGGACAAGGCGGCCAGGCAACCGAAGACGACTGGCAGGCAGGACCGCCGTTCCTCACAGTCGTCTCAGTGCACCCCTTTCCGCTGTCAGATTGGGCCCAGGTCCAAAATGAGGACGACTTCGTGGCACTGGAGCCGTGGGCAGTGCCATGCGGAAACAAGTGGATGAAGAAGAACTGGGACAAGTGGCAAGGTGTCACGGGACACTAGGGCCAGGGAGCACTAGCTTCAGTAGCCTTGTAGAGCGCACGTGCACCGGTTTGTAGAAAAGCTTGCCGCGTCTCGATCGTCTCGCAAGGTTACTCCTTCTACACAGGCGAGCTGTCTATTGAGAAGTGCCTCACGGTGACCTACAAGCTAAGCCTTCAGCCTGTGTTTGCTTTTGTGGGCGGTGTGCAAATCGACCTGATGCCCAAGCCCTTGGCAGAAGTGGACACGACAGTCTGCTGGCCGACAGGGCGACCTGACGCCCAGGATTTGAGTGTCTTGCGCACCGAGATCAGGAGCAGTGGCCTACTTCTTTTCCGCAGGTCCCTGCGCCTCAGCAAGCGCTACAGTGAGCCCAGCGACTTCGTCGACGAGAACGTGCAGAAGAGCACCGCCAGCTGGAACCAGCCCGCGAACCCTCGTGCAGCCATTTCAAGGACGAAGCTTTTGCAGACGAGCCAGAACGAAACCCAGAGCAAGGACAAGGAGTCTCGCACGGTTCAGGAAGACAACAGCGCGCTGGAGTCCCTGGAGTGGATGGAGGAGGAGGACCTGTACCTGGCCTCCGTGAACTATTCCAGGGATCTTGGAGTCAACCTGACCTCGGAGCCTGGGCCAACATGTTCTCAGTCATGCTGCACCGGACTTAGGAGCTCCACAACCCTAGGAAGCACACGACCAAGAGGTTCAGCTTCCCTGTGCTTCCCCACGAGCCCCTCAAAGCAGAGAGAGGCCCTGAAGCTTTGGGTTCATGAGGTGCAGGCCGTTCTTAGAGCTCCGGCTCTCGCGTTTTTCGGGGCACCTCTTTCTGAGTCTCAGGAGATGCGGGGTTTGGACGCCGAGCGGCGCCTGAGCCTGTCCGAAACTATGGCCCAAGGAGTTCCTGGGCGGAGAATCTGGCAGCGAGGGTGGGGTGAAAAGGGGGGGAGGGCCTTCGCGAAAGCCTATTGACTGTTTCTTTTTATTTAACAATCTTTTTCTGCTCCGGCTGCTCGTGACGAGATGACATGCTGTGAGGTCTTCCAGCTCTTCAACTTCGAGAACCCTGGGATGGTGAACTTCAAGCTTCAGGCCCTCCTGGAGGAGAACAACTTCGAGTTGAACGCGCAGATGGGTTTTGGGCCCTTCACATCCGGGGAGAAGAAGATTAAGCTGGTGAACATCGTGGACCAGTTTGCCGTGGTGCTGTACGCGCTGCCCTTCGTGTCCCCCGAGAGCAGAAACAAGGCCCTTGCCTCCCTGAGGGGCTTTGCCAGCGATGACCTGCCTCCGCCACCGCCTGTCGCTCTGAAGGCCGGCATGAACATCGCGATTCATAACCGGAGGTTCAGCCAGTACCTGAACATTCATTGGGATGGAAGCGCGCACTCCAGCCACACCCGCAGCTATGAGGCTGGCTTCGTGAGACCTTCCAGCAGCTGGAATTCGGATTGGGAGCGCTGGACCGTCTTGGATGCGACCCCGGGGTATATTGGCCTGCACCATCAGAAAACGAACCGCATCCTGTGCTTTGATGGCGAGAGGGTTTACGGTTATGTTGTTGCAGCCAGCGGCTTCAAACTACGGTGGCGAGATTGCACGTTCAAAGTGGTGACATGGGCTGGATTCTTCGGACTCCACAACCTGATGACTCAGAGGCTTGTGGCCGTGTCAGCACACCAGGCTGCGTACGGCAGTGGACGCATACACCCCGATCATATTCCCGATGGTTGGACCTGGACGCAGTTCCGGTTTCAGGTGATCGATCCCTACCTGCGGCCGGGTGCATCGGTAGGCTTCTACAACCCGAAATGGGGATCTTGGATGCGAATGCAGGACGACTTCATGGACAACCCTACCTTTGGGGGACGATATCCACCAGAGAGCTACGGAGTCGGCGATGTAGACTGGGGCTGGGAAACCTTCGAGGTGATGGATGCCGGGAGCGGCGAGATTGCGCTCTTCAGCCGCAAATGGCGGCGTTTCGTTGGGCTGCAGGAGGATGGAAAGGTCATCGTGAGTGAGCGCAAAGCTCAAGAGCTCTCCGCCGACATGACTTGGGCAAGATTCCAGGTAGTGCCGGCAAGCCAGGGAGGCGAGGTCCTCATCGCTTTGCACAACCGCGCGAGCAACCGCTTCCTGCACGGACAGGGCAAATCGGGAAGAGAAGGCATCATCGGCTATGACGAAATGGCTCCGCAGGACTATCCCAGTTCGTGGACCTGGTCCCGCTGGCAAGTGGTGGAGAAGAGCCCAGGCGACACACCCAGCAGCCCCTCCCTCCCTGAGGCCTGGAAATTCAGTGTGCGATGACATCCTGTCGTATGTTTCAGTGACGACGCATGTCCTGTATGCAGGAGGTGAAAACGGGGTCGCATCATGCTCTCATGTTTGTGAGTTCTTGCGTTGCGCTTTCAGCAACTCTACGTGGCAATGAGAAGACTCTGGCTTAGCTATGGCCTCCATTGCATGCTTCAGTGGTTCAGGCCCCTGCAGTCAGAGGGCAGCTGTTCGTTCATGCTCGCAAATGCAAGTAATTCTTCATTGCGGCCGCGCGGGGGGGAGAATTAAAGTCGTCCGCGCCACTCGCGCCACTCGCGCCACTCGCTCCACTCGCGCCACTCGCCACTCGCTCTGCTAAAGGAAAGAGTGGTGGAGCGAGTGGCACGAGTGGGACACGCTTCTACTGCAACGACTGGCATCTTTGGAACGGTGGAGTGGCTGGCTCGTAAATTAAAGACTGGACTCTCAACATCCCAAAACCTCGTCCGCGCCACTCGCGCCACTCACGCCACTTGCTCCACTCGCTCCACTCGCGCCACTCGCGCCACTCGCTCCACTCGCGCCACTCGCGCCACTCGCGCCGCTCGCGCCACTCACACCACTCGCTCCACTCGCTCCACTCACTCTGTATAGACGTACCGTACGGGGAGCGAGGAGTGAGTGGACCGATAGAGCGACTGGAACGGTAGAGCGAGGGGAGCGAGGGGAGCGAGTGGAACGAGTGGAGCGAGTGGAGCGAGTGGAGCGACTGGAGCGAGTGGAGCGAGTGGAGCAAGTGGAGCGAGTGGAGCGAGTGGAACGAGTGGAGCAAGTGGCGCGAGTGGAGCGAGTGGAACGAGTGGAGCAAGTGGAGCGAGTGGAGCAGACGGTTTAGCGCCCCCCAACGCCGACACTCTCTAATTCTTGTAGTATATATACTAAACTACAACATCTCACACTTTACTGTCGTATACTACTTACGCTGTACTTTTTAGCTATACTGTAACATACCAAGCCATACCTTGTCATGCCAGACTATACTAGTCTATATAGTCTATACTGGCGTCAAGCGGCTCAAAAAAAGGTCCGAGTCTGCTTTCCCGGACCTGGGTGGCCTCGCCTCTGCGCAAGCAGCAGACAGTGCATAGCATATCATAGCATGTGGTCTGGTGTGGTCTGGTCTGGCATGGCATTTCGTATGGCATGGAGCGAAGTCCATGGGCTGTTCTTTCTACACGCTGGTTGTGCAGGGCTTCCCCATGCAGTTGCTCGCAACCCGGAAGTCCTAACCTTGCAGAAGGCTTCCGAAAAACGGAATAAGTGAGCCCAGAAGCGCGAGCGGCGAGCGCCTCTAACCCGGGTCTCTAAAGAATCGGATTGCAGCTAGACGTTGGGGGAAAGGGGAGAACCACAACTTTCTATATCAAGTGTGGAACAGCAGGTATGGTTGTGGCTTTCGCAGGTGAAGTGCCCGGACTGAGGTCTCAAGAGCATTGGAAGCCAGGTTGGGTTTTTGCAGGAAGACGCTGCATGTTCCGTTGACAGCCAATTAAGGGCATTGCATTTGCTCAGGGTTGATAGGGGCGTCACCTGCCCACGGCACAAGCCTGCCCCAAAAGAAAGCTCAACATGCCAGCCCGCTGAATCCCATTTCGTTGCAAGGAATTCTAGCAAGACTTAGACTGCAGGGATCCTCAATTTGCCGCAAGTGGTGCAGCTGGCTCACGCCCTACCAGAGCTTTAGTGGAGTACGGAGGAGACCGGAGGCTCTCGATGTGCCATGTCGGTGAAGCCCAGGCGGATCTTCCACTTCCCCCCGAGCCAACAACGCTGGGGAAGCCGCCATCAGAGCACGGCACCACCTCGGACCAGGTTTCTGAGGAAGACATCACTCTCGAGCCAGGGGGGGGGACCCTTGCAAGATGGACCTCGCCAGGAAGTCGTAGATATCCTCACCAGTCTCTAGGTAAGGCTTTGGGACATTTTATATTTTCACTTATTGGGCTTAAGAGGATCTTATTTACTAATTTTTTCCAAAAGCTTTAAAAGCCCCACCTAGGTCTGCAGCCGGTACATCCGGATGTAGTGCGCGGCACCCCTGCCTATATCCCGCTCCAAAAAGGTGCACGCATTCTGAGAGGCCTCGGCATCAAGGATAAGCACAGGTTGCATAGCCTCAGTTACCCGACCACGACGATTACGCAGTTCTGGAGCCACAGCTGGCACGGGCCGACGTTCTCGAAGGTGCTGATGCTTCTTGTCATGAACAACGGCCTTCCCAGCATCTGTATGGGCACTTTGGGAGGCGTCTCGTTGTGCTTCCTCTGGTGGGGGATTGGCCCATCACAGCATCCAAGATTTATCAAGATTTCCCTGGGACCTGATGCTTTGCACCACTCTCTTCTCCGTGTGCTGCTGCGGTGCGACCTTGTTCTTCTGGCGCCCACGTCACACGGTCTTCGTGGATCAGATTTGCATCCATCAAGCAGACCCGACCAGGAAAGTTGCGGGGTTGATCAGCATGCCTGCCATTCTGAAGTCCTGCAGCTCCATTGTCGTTTGTTGGGATTCAAGATGATTCAAGCTACATGCGAAGGGCCTGGTGTGTCTGGGTTCACATAGGAATTTTTGATGTTCAGAAGCCTATGAGAGCACAGAAAGCCGAAGCTCCGAACCCTCCTCACAAGCTCCAAGTTTAGGCGTTTTCGAGATGGCTGCCTTCATGAAGGCGCATGGAGAGGATGCGAAGCTTGTGATACGACCGACGTTCTTTGGACCCTGCAGCGTTGCCAGCGTTGCAGGGCTGGCAGGTGTTCTGGTGGTGAATGTCACTACCTTCTACTTTACGAACGGATACATCGCTGTGGTCGCCACCGCAGCTGCTAACCTCAGACTTGCCCTCCTACTGCTGTCGGTAACCAGCTTCATGTTTGCCGCAGTGTCTTCTTTTCGCAGGTACTACGCTTCAGTTGAGGAGATGCAGATGCAACTGAAGGATTTCGCCATCGAGGATACCTTGACCTACTGCTGCACTAGGAATCACCGGGACGAATCCGGAAATCCCATTCCGATTTGCGACAGGCAAATAATCGTCGACTGCATCGTCGCTTGGTTCGGGTCGACGGATGCCTTCAATCAGAGGGTGCGGGAGAGAATGCAGGCCGCCCTGGTGCCAAAGTTGGGCCACCTCTCTTTCTCGTACTCTTGGATGGTGGCTTGCTGCATTCCTTATCTCTGGGCTTCCATGGCCCCGGTCTTTCTCAACGCACTCGTCGAAGACTGGAGTTACAGTGCTGACTCAGCATTGCGCATCATCGCTTGGTGGCTAGGAGGCTTTCCCATTATGGGATTGAGCGTACTTGCAGTTTCGAAAGTGACAAGTAGGCAGTGCTCACGCTGCATCAGCTTCCTTGTCAACTTGCTGGCTTCGTGGATTATCATGCCCATCTACATCGGCATTGAGCTGTGGATTACCATGTTGGAGCACACGTATCCCTTCCCGACAGGGCAAGCCCTGTATGTCGGCTCCCTGCTAGCCGTCGCACATTGCTGCTTAGTTTTCTGATGTCACGCTGCCAGACTTCGGCGATGCATAAACCACAGGCAGAATCGCCCCACTCCTTGGAGTAATCACGCAGGTTCAAGGTCAATTTAAAGGAACTTTCTGCGATGATGACTGCTGAGTTCTCATATCTCGCAACATCTCGCAACCTCCCTGCAGGCACATCAAAACTGATTGTGCGGCTGAGGAGCCACGACATTCGTTGGACGGTAGTTCCGCAGGCTTCGCCGTGTTTCACCGGAGTTTATGTGAAGCCACAGCAGCTTTTTTCTCCTCGGTGCAGAAGGGCGATCTTCCGCTCCGGGACGTGGTGCCACATCTTGGTAGCGACCACATGAAAGGAAAGCCCGAAAAGCCATGCTGTGCATCTCGCGCAAAGGCGGACAGGAACTTCGCATCCAGTTCTTTCGCGTTGCTTTGGCCTCTCGAAGTACAGGTTTGCCTTAAGAACCCGAAGCTTTGCTAGGCCTTGCATCCGCCCCTGTTTGGGCCGGTCGAGGCTTCTCTTTGCCTTGCCGGGGCTCGAATTGATAGCAAACGCTTCCATCAAACGGTCCATCAAGCGGCTTCGCGAAGATCGAATCACGCCCCTAACTCGAAACTCCTGGGTTGATGCGCTTGAGAAAGGCAGACAACATCAAGCGCTGTGGAGCCACAACCCAAACGTCACAAGTGAGCCTTGGGGTCCTGCGCAGCTAAGAAGTCAGAGGGGGTACAGCCACAGAGCGGTCGTTGTGCGGTTCCTCAACGTACATGAGACATGAAGCGCACTGACAATCCCGTCAGCGAGGTGTCGATGTCACATTCACGGGCCTTCTTGAACCATAACCATCATCGTCATCATCGTCGTCATCCTCATAGAGTCAGAATGCAAGCTACAAGTAGCAGTATTGATTGGAGTCTAAGCCAGTCCACGATAGTTCGAGCAGGCAGCCGCGATAGCAAAAGGCGAAGTCACGTGTGATGCACAGTCACGGCACAGGTCTACTCAGTCATCATGCTGAGCAACCCTAAACCCTAAACCCTAAACCCGTGAGCCCTGAACACTACAACTCTAAGCCGTCTCGACTCATTTGGCAGCCTTCGGGCCCAAGCAAACGACGTACCGAACCGTTACCCAGAAGTACCGAAGTGCGATGCATCGCCTCCTCGTCCTCGCCCCTCGGCCTTAGCAACGTCCGGATCACATTCTTGGGATTAGGTCCGTGGTCTAAGGACTTTGCGTTTAGGGTTTAAGGTCAGGACGTAGGTTTCGGGTTTCGACAGTTTGCTGTGTTGTTTTTTTTTGCTGTTTGGGCCAAAGCAGCTTGACAAAAACCCAGAGTTCTGGAGCCAGAAAAAGTGTGTGGTGTAAGGACGACAGGCCGTGATGTTCGAAAGGAGAGGTCGACGGAAACCCTAATATAGGGGCCTTAGTAAAACTGAGTTGTGGTGTCCATTATACTATGCTTATAATAAGGAACCCCAAAACCGAAGCCTTGCGGGTTAATATAGTGGCCAAAATAAATTCCTATGCTATTTGGGGTTCCTTAGTAGAATTGTAGTAAAACGGTCCCCAAAACTCTATTCTAATTATTATGGCCCCTGCATTAAACTGGCTGAGGTCGCGACCTGCTGCACTTTTGTCCTCGGTCAATGCCCCAGGCAATGGCAAGGCTGCAGAGAGCCTTTCAGACTTGGGAGTTTCCGCAAATAGGGGACCATAATGTAGTACCCTAAATAGCAGGATCCTTATTTTGACTACTCCAATATAAGGTGACAGGGATTTTGGTTTGAGTCACGCAGGGCAGCTTATTGTTGTTTCGGCAGGGGAAGTTTGGGGGTTTCCACACGAAGGCCAATGAAGCTTACATTAATATGGACCTTGATGACCCTCAACATGGGCTACGGCTACTCTTGAATGCCTGAACACCTAGAACAGCTACTGTTTTATGTTCTGCAATCCTTGCAACCATAGACTGCTTGAGCAGCAAAAGCAACGGCTGCTCGGCCCGAGTTGCTGCAAAAAGCCCGTACACAAGCAAGTCTTGTAACATCTGTACCAATGATACAAACATGCCAAGGTTTGCAAGCGCTCCTCAATATGGCAGCGCAGCATAAGCCCCAAGCCCCAAACCTTCTGAATTGCGGCTGCAGAGTTGCCGGGCCTGGTATGGGATCTTTCTCGAACAAGGTGACCTCTAAGCAGAGCTTAAAAGTTGGAACTTTAGAGGTGTCCCGTCACAGTCCCTTCAAAGTTCCACTCAAAACAGTAATACTACTTTCTGGGGTTCCGTATTATTAGACAGCATGTTATGAAATAGCCCGAAGCGTTATTCTATTTACTAAGGCCCGAAGGATTACCATAAAGCGAAGGATGACGGCCCCTGCATTACTCAGGTCATCAGTGCAAGCTGGGCGATTCGTGCAATCCCGAGAATGCCGAGGTCGGTGTAGAGTTTCTCCAGCGCATCTGGGTGACAAAGACTAGTGCATACTGTTGAAGGGCGACAAGTTGAAGGGATTGCTGGTTACAAGTACTGCGGTTTAATGTTTTCTATCACTTTAACGGTTTCTCCATGACTCCATGACCGGCGGCTTGAGAACTCCCCCCCCCCCCCGCGACATCCACACCAGCCCCAGTTGTTTTCTTCCCTTCCTTGGTGGAAGTTGTTCCAAAATGCTTGAACTTTTCCACTGCTGTCATCACCACTCGTAACATCTAACTGGCAAGTTCTGCTGGCTAACACAGGCAAGTTGTCGCTGGCACCCCGCCGGCCCCACGTTCTCCTGTTCGTCGCGGACGATGTGGGCTGGGCGGGCCTGGGCGTCCACCGAACTGCCAGAAACACAGCTGAGGCAGGACGTGGTTACTTGTGGTTTCCCAGGTTTGGGGCTTTAGGGGGCTACTTGGCTCAGCTGTCGTTCCAGATATGCTGAATCTTGCGATTTGGTCAAGTTGTCTTAATTCCCAAACCCTTAAGCCCTAATCCCTTGAACCCTAAACCTGCAACCTTGAAGCTTCAAACCCCCAAACCCCTAAACCCCCAAACTCCCAAACCCTAAACCCCTAAACGCCCGAACCCCCAAACTTCTAACCCCTAAGCCCCCAAACGACGAACCCCTACACCCTCAGCGCCTTACGAAGGCTCAGCGCAAGACCCCTAAACCCCAAAACCCTTAAACTTCGAACCCCTAAACCCCAAACAACTAACCCCTAAACCCGAAACCCTAAACCCCTAAACCCCTAAACCCCTAAACCCTAAACTCTACACCCTAAACCCCTAAACCCTAAACCCTAAACCCCTAAACCCCTAAACCCCTAACCCCTAAACCCCAAACCCTAAACCCCTATACCTTAAACCGAAGGCTCAGGGCAAGGCGGAGACGCAGACTCCCAACCTGGATGCCTTGGTCCGGCAAGGCGTGCTTCTGGAGAGGCCTCGAGAAGGGCTCCTAAAAAGGGTTCCTCTAGAGGGCTCCTCTTGAGGGTGCCTTTAAGGGTTCCTCTTGAGGGCTCCTAAAAAGGGCTCCTTTGAGGGTTCCTTTAAGGGTTCCTCTCGAGGGCTCCTCTTGAGGGTGCCTTTAAGGGTTCCTCTTGAGGGCTCCTAAAAAGGGCTCCTTTGAGGGTTCCTTTAAGGGTTCCTCTCGAGGGCTCCTCTTGAGGGTGCCTTTAAGGGTTCCTCTTGAGGGCTCCTAAAAAGGGCTCCTTTGAGGGTTCCTTTAAGGGTTCCTCTCGAGGGCTCCTCTTGAGGGTGCCTTTGAGGGTTCCTCTTGAGGGCTCCTAAAAAGGGCTCCTTTGAGGGTTCCTTTAAGGGTTCCTCTCGAGGGCTCCTCTTGAGGGTGCCTTTAAGGGTTCCTCTTGAGGGCTCCTAAAAAGGGCTCCTTTGAGGGTTCCTTTAAGGGTTCCTCTCGAGGGCTCCTCTTGAGGGTGCCTTTAAGGGTTCCTCTTGAGGGCTCCTAAAAAGGGCTCCTTTGAGGGTTCCTTTAAGGGTTCCTCTCGAGGGCTCCTCTTGAGGGTGCCTCTTGAGGGTTCCTTTAAGGGTTCCTTTAAGGGTTCCTTTACGGGCTCCTCTTGAGGGTTCCTTCTAGAAATCCGTTAAGGGGTACGGTGGTATTATCAGGGGATTGTATTTAAGGGCTTTAGGGGCTCTAGGCGGTTTAGGTTTAGGGTGTAGGGTTTAGGAGGGTTAAGGGGTTAGTAAGGGTTTGGTCTAGGGGTACGGGGTATAGGGTTCTCTTGCCGATTATTTGCCGAGGATCGTGGCGGGTTTGGGGTGTAGGGGTGGGGGTTCATTGTAAATTCTGACACATGGCCCACTTTGGCTTTCAAAGCCTTGAGTCGCAGTCCTCTTCAATCCCGCCAGTAGATGCTAAACGGAGAACATCTGAGCCGCGGTCCTGGATTCTGGATCCGCCCATACCCCAACCTTGAACCCTGTACCCTAAACACGAGACCCAATACTTGGGGGAGGGCCTTCTGGCAGTGTTGTCGAATCATCATGCCAATGCCTGAAAGCATTTCGGGCATGGCCTGAGTTCGCTAAACTTGCAAGAGCCTTTTGAAGCGCAGCATTATATGAGTATGACCTAAACCCTAAAGCTTGTAAACCTGAAAAGCCTTAAGCCCCACACTCGCAGGCACTACACATCGTCAACATCGGCGCCGTCGAGGTCCTCCTTGCTGAGCGGCCGTTTGCCTCGCCGATTCCCCCAGGTACCTGAGGGCATTTCGACTCCCCAGATGTTTCCTGCTTGGACAGTATCGCTTTGCTGCCCTAAACCCCCCTTCCTTGAACCTCAAACCCCTAAACTCCTAAACCCTAATTCAAACCCCAAATCCCAAACCCTAAGTCAAGAGGATTATGGGACTTAGGAATTAGGGTTATAAATATTTATATGGTCATTTAAAAAGTTATTCCCTACTGATGCTCGCATTGTATAAATGAGGGAACTATAGCTTTAATTACTTCTAACTCCAATCAAGGTACATATAAATTTACTTACTAAGTCTCATGATACGCCAAGCAGGTTTTGGAATCCACAGGATAACGTTTCTGGCTTCTACGGAATCCCGAGAAACATGACTGGCATTGGTCGCAAGATGAAGGAAGCTGGCTACGCGACACATTTCATTGGCAAGCGGCTGGGCTTACTTTTGCAAGTTTTTTTCGGGCGAGTTTCTCTCCAGGGAGTCAGAACACGCATCCAAACGGTCAACACAGGTGGGATGTCGGCTTCGCCACGCCGGAACATGCCCCCCTCGGCCGAGGCTTTGACTCGTTCTTGGGCAACTTGCAATCCATGAATGACTATTGGTCCAAGGACCACGCAGGTGAGAAGTGGCTACTGGATACTTGCTTGAACAATTTTCAGGATTTCTCGCTTCACAATGCTACGTACCGTGGTGGTGTGGAAGGAGCGGTGGCTGCTGAACTGGGCTGCGGTGAACGCGTGAAAGGCAAGTCCTTCACAGATATTGGCTGCAACAAGGATGATCGCAAGGAGTGTTTGCCAGAGAGCTGCTTCGAAGAGTCCATGTTTCTGGAGTATGCCACGAAGCTCCTCAAAGATCACGAGCCTTCAACGCCCCTGTTCCTGGTCTACTCGTCACACCTTGTGCACGTCCCTCTGCAAACGACACGCTCGGCCCTGAAACTGGAGGAGGCCGTCCAAGGAGTTCTTGCAAAGGCTGGTCTGGAAAGGAAGTTTGCGTGGACGAAGCGTCGAAGGGCGCTAGCTGCAAACCTGATGTACTTGGACGGTGTCATGGGGAGACTGGTTGACGCTTTGAAAGAGCGGCAGATGTTTGAAGACACCCTAATCATCTTTATTTCTGACAATGGTGGCTCCGTTCACCTGAGAGGAGGTGGCAACAACTATCCACTGAAATCCGGAAAGGCAGCCGACTTTGAAGGAGGGGTGCGAACAAACGCTTTCATCTCGGGGGGCTTCGTCCCAGCCGAGCACAGGGGCAGCACCTTCCATGGCGTGATTCACATCGCGGACTGGTACGCCACGCTCTGTGACCTTGCCGGGGTGAGTCATTTCGACCAGGCAGCTGCCGACGCCAACAAAGTCCAGCGTGTGAAGAATCTGCCACTCTTAGGAGATGTAGATGGCCGGCCACAGATGCAGCACATCCTTTCCGGCAGTAATGGCCGCCCGGATGCCTTGCACTTGAGCAGACACGCAGTTCTCAAGTGGCCCTACAAACTGGTTACTCTGTCATAGTTGAGGAACATTGTACATTATGTATGGGTGCTTACTAAGGACTTGCTAAGGAATATGAGTACATTCTTATGGGTGCTTAAGCCATCTTGAGCCCAAGAAGGAGTATGAATGATCATTCTGTATTCTACCCCAAGCACGGATCAGGTTACGGGGGAGCAGGAATTCAGCTTCTGGCCTGGCCCTGTGTTTCCAAATTGCAGCAGCGTCCATCCGGAGTTCCCACGAGACTTGTCTGGTTCTTGGTACGGTTGATGATAGAAATCCTGCATGACCCATAGTTATAAGGAATATACCATAATTCCCATAGTCTAGGGCCCCTAAGGTATTGCAGGATTTATATCAGCAACAGTAGGGAATGGTGAAATGGATCCCTATAGTAGTGTTGATGATATAAGTCCGCATCACCTTAAGGACCCTAAGCTATGGGAATTATGGTATATTCCGCAGAATGCCTAATGCAGGATTTATACCATCCACCGTAGTAGTCCCTGTATAATCCGCAACAACAGTCTTCATAATCCATTCCCCCATTCCCCAGAGTCTGGGTTCCTGAGTAGTGCCCTTTGGCCCCTTTTTGTTTTAAGGTCCCCGAATTAGGGTTTAGGGTTTGGGGTTTAGGGTTTGGGTTTAGTTGAATTAGAGCCAAATAGCATCATATGAAGGGGCTACTCAGAAATCTAGGAGTGGATGTCTTTGGGCACGGGGTCCGAATCGAAGCTGACGACTCGACCTACAGGGAGTATGCCATGGTAGAGGATTGCGGCACAGGTTGCTCGGCCTGTTGTCATATCTTTGAATGATCCGGAACACCATTTTCGTCGTACTATTGCAGCCAATCACCACAAACCCTACACCCGAAACCCTCCAACTGCCAGGATGCCTTTACGATATTGAGGCCGACCCTGGTGAGCATGCAAACCTCGCCAATCAAGCGCGGTTCACCGGTCAACCGTGGCAGTGAGTTTTCTTCTGCTCTAAGTTCGATTTTTCAATCCGAAGAAGTCGTATCAGGGTTGCAAACTCTATTCCTACCAGCGGTTCGCGGACGAGAGTTTCATTGTCTGTACTGCCCTAAGCCCGAAACGCTAAGCCTGAAGTTCTAAAATTCTAAAACCCCATACAGCCCAAAGCCCAAAATTTTAAACCAAGACCCAAATCCCTAAGCCCAACCCAAAACCGACAATCCAAAACCCTAAGCCCAACAAAATCAGGTACCAGGCCGTGCTGACAGACCTACAGGAGGAGCTTGAGCGTCTGAACAAAGACGCTTCCACGGCAGCGTTGGCCAAGAGTTTACGGTGGGGTTTGTAAATTTGTAGGTGGTTTAGGGTTTAGGGTTAGGCGGTTTAGAGGCTAAGGTGAGTTTAGGGTTTTTGGGTTTTTGGGCGGTTTACGGTTCGGGGCTTGCTTTGCATTTTATGTTATTGGGTTGCCGGCGCTTACTGTTGATGATATAAATCCTGCATTACCTTAAGGACCCTAAACTATGGGAATTATGGTATATTCCTTATAACTATGGGTAATGCCGGATTTCTATCATCAACCGTTAGCAAGCGGCGTTTTCAGTTTCCAGTCACGCTCTGAAGAGCAAGGCAGACATGGGCCAGGCTACTACGCAGGCCTGTTGGCAGGCCCTTCCGGGTTCCAGGGTTTGGGGTTTCAGGGTTTTAGGGTTTCGGTGTTTTAGGGTTTTGGGTTTCAGGGTTCCGGGCTTCCAGTAGAAGCCAGAAAGTTGGAACATCATGATCCTCATGCCCCTAAAGTAAAGTAGAAGGGATCCTAGCACTAATCCTCCAAAGTCCATGTTCCAACTTTCTGGGTTTCACCGAGTTCCAGGGTTTCGGTGTTTTAGGGTTTTCGGGTTTCGGTGTTTTAGGGTTTCGGTGTTTTAGAGTTTTGGGTTTCAGGGTTTCGGGCTTCGGGTTTCGAGTCGCGCCCTTCCCAGAGACTCCAATATCCCTGAATTGAGGAATATTCCTTAAATCATATTAGGGATCCCACTATAATTTAAGGTCTATTCCTTAATTAAGGGGTTTTGGAGTCTCTGGGTTGGCAGGCTTTCCAGGCAGGGGGCTTCCTGCAGCCGTTCGTCGACGCGAGCGAGTTTGTCACCGTCACCAGCGAGTACTCCGCGGCAGATGCGGAGAAGTACGGCCAGGAGCCGGGACGAAAATACAAATTTCGAGAGGCCCGACCGAAACCCCAAAAAAATCCCCTTAAGGATCCCTTTACGGAACCCTTTAAGGATGCCTTTAAAGGAACCCTTACAGTCCTAAATCCTAGGACCTGGCAGAGCTGCAGAAGAACTTGGCAGACCCGACTTTCCTCAACCGCGAAGCCGAGGCGGCGAGTGAGTCAAGCTTCAGATGTTCGGATTTTGAAAAAAGGCTTCTTCGGGCTTCGGGTTTAGGTTTAGGGTTTAGGTTTAGGGTTTTAGGGTTTAGGGTTTCGGATTTCGGGTTTAGGGTTTATGGGATTCAGGGCTCCGTAATTTAGGGACAGCCCTAAATGCAGGCAAACGAGGCCACTGGCAAGCCCCGGCCACAACACCAGAGATGGGAACTAGGACGCCTCAAGAGTCCCGCACCTTGACCCCTCTGGCATCCATTCCCAGACCCCCGAGAGAATCGAAAAAAGTAGATCCCTGCATTTGGGACCCCATTCTACTACGGGAGACCCCTTGAGAGTAATGATGTATTTCAGTGCATTTACATGTTTCTCCAATCCGCGAAGCCGCTGACCAAGCATCAAGCTGCAGGAGATTCATATCCCCAAATATCCAGAGACCTTATTTAGAATTTTCGGCTCCCTCAATGCGTGGTGGTTCTCTGAGCTCATCTGCAGCTTCTTGGAGCTCCGAATACCCCTCAAGCAAGGAATAAATCTTGACGTATAGTGGGCCTAGTATTTATGATTTCAGGTCTGTTCCTGCCCTAAATCCTAAACCCTGACGGAAAAAGGAGTTCAAAAACAAACTTGAACCCTAAGCCATAAACCCATAATTGACTAAACCCCCCAAAGTAGGTAAAATAATGGCCCAATTTCCCTACAAGGCTATTATTCTACATACTTTTGGGGTCCAGGTAAGGGGTATTGGGATCTCTGGGTTATTAAACCCTGAACCCTAAACCCTAAACCCTAAAAACAAGAAAACCCTAAACCCTAAACCCTAAACCTATTGGAGCTCTTCGCTCGGTGAGGCGGTGATTGCGCAGCTCGACCCTGAGAGCGGAGTCCTCGACTGCTTAGGACCTTAGCACACGCGCCCCATGGAGAAAAGCAAACTTAGTTTAAAGGGTTTAAAGGGTTTAGGGGTTTAGGATTCCTGTTGCAAGGTGCCCGGGTTTCGTGGGATTAGAAGCATCAAAGCAGTAAGGGAAACGGCTGATGCGAGAGTCTCTCCAGAAATCTGGCACTTTCATTTCCCGAGCCCTGTGCTCAAAAGGGCGAGAAAACCCTGAGCCTCCTTTGCAGCCATGGGGAAGAAAGGTGCCGGTGACTTCGCGGACAGAGGCCTCCGAAGAACTCTGGTTGACAACTCGGATTCAAAGACGGGAGAAGACATCATCAAGGAAGTCCTAGCCAGGAGCCCTCTACGATTAGGGGTTAAGGCAAAAGCCAACTTCCAGGAGGTCTCGGAGATCTATCAACTTCGCGGCTTCCGGAGTTGCGATTTAGCAGAGCTGACCCACGCGGACGCCAGCTTGTGGGCTTCTGGGCTATTGTGAAGGAATGTGATTTAAGCCGCCATGAATAGATCCCTATTATGGTCAATTTAACTTTAAGTCCTTTCCAATAATAAGAACATGTCGTATGAACCCACGCTTTGTCATGGATTGATTGGGATAGATCCCTATATTGTGGTCAGTTCACTTTAAGTCCTTTAGAAGACTAAAAGCCCAGGCTTTATCATGGATTGATTGGGGGCCAAACCACTGGCACTCGGCATCTTTCTGCGTGGAGACCTCATCCGGCCCATGGCGCGTCGTCGTCACGAAGCAGGGGGAAGTGAGCAGTGTGTTTCCTGTGGTGGATCCAGATCGTGGCACAGGTGGGGAATGTAGAGGAATACTTGCGGCTTCCCTGGTGCGCCTTGCGTCGTAGTCCGCGTTTTGCAGCTGGTTGATGGTAGTTTAGGGTTTCGGGGCTTGTAGGGTTGGCTCCTGCAGGCGCGGTGTCGGCGTTCCGTCGGGAAGATGGCGCAGCTGGACCCAACAAGACCAGGACCGACGCAGCCCGCAAGGCGGAGAGGAAGCGGCTCTTGGACTTGAGCCGCGCGTTGAAAGAAGCTTGGCTTCTTTGTGGGGTTTTGGGGTTTAGGGTTCAGAGTGTGGGGTTAAGGGTGTCGGGTTTAGGGTTTAGATTTAGACCCTACTAAACTCCAAAAAACAAAGCGCTAAACCTAAAAGGAAGAGCAAGGGCAGTTCCATGCACGGTTGTGGAGTAGCAGCAAGCGCAGCTGTGATTGCTTGGAGGATCATGGGACTTAGTAAGTAAGGTTATCACAGGCAGCTTAATGCAGGTTACAAGTAGTCACAGTCTCCCTAAGGTACTCAGCACTGCTCCAAGCAGAACCCTTTGAAACGATCGAGATCTCCCTCAACACCCGACTCCTTCTCAGTCCGTCTAAGGTTGCAAAACTGTATCACGCCATCCTAAACCCTAAACTCTAAGGGGCGATAAAGAACCAACTTAAACCCTTCAGGCGTACCGTCACCTACGCCCTAAGTCTTACAAGCCCCCAACTGTACTGTCACATACACCTTAACCTTCCCCAAACCCTGCAAGCCCTCGGCAATGCTGTCACCTACACCCTAAACCAAACAAGCCTTCAAGCGGACTGTCACCTCCACCCTGAACCCTTTAACCCTAAACCCTAAACCCTAAACCCTAAACCCTAAACCCTAAAAAGCCTACAACCCTCAAGCTTTTTAAAGCCGCTACACGCTAAACCCCGAAGCTTCCAGCCCTAAGCCCTAAACACCAAACCCCAAACCCCGAACCCGAAGCCCTAAACTCTACGCCCTTAACCCCATTATAAACCTTCAAGCCTAAACCCCCCAACCTTTTTCATCCCAAAACTCGCACCGGAGGACAGCCTGGCACTGCTGGAGGCCTTCCTGGCTTCGGGCTGTCGATCAAACAGGGCAGAGGTGTCCGACACCTGTAGCTCCTGGGCTGTTTGCTGTCGTGATACGGTTGATGATATAAATCCTGCATTACCCATTATAAGGAATATACCATAGTTCCCATAGTTTAGAGTCCTTGGTGTCATGCAGGATTTTGTCCATCACCAGTAGTGAAGCATACGAAGCCTTTTTGTATTTTTTCTCTTCGGGTTTTGCAGGGTTTCATGCGGGTTGTACAGGGTTGTCTAACCATTGATATTGGAGGAGCTAAGGAGCCAGGGATGATGATAATCCCAATAAAAAAAGGAGCTAAAGAGCCATGGAACCCCCAAAACCACTGGTTAGCTAGCCTCAGAATGATAAGTCCATCATCAAGTTAGTATGCCTCAAATCTCTCGCCTTATGAAAAAACCTCATTTCGCAAGTTCTGTTGCAGTTCCCGGGCCTTGTTCAGCAGGAGCCTTCCGGATTCTCATCTGAGATGCAAGACTAGGTGGCAATTTGGGATACTTTTTTAGTTTCCCTGGTGGTTCCTATAGAGGTACCTATTCGTAAACAGGAGAAGTGGGTCTAGACGTAGACATCTGTGTGAGTCTACAGGGGTTACGTGGGACTTAGTAAGTAAGGCTTTAAGTACCCTAAACGGGTTATAAGTAATCATAGGTAGGTAAAGTTACAGGACTCATAACCCTACTAAGTCCCATGATCCGTTAAGTAAAGGATCTGGCTCCGGGTTCAGACAGGAGTTCGGTGGTTAAGGTTTGAGAACTGAAAGATAGAAGCGAACGCCGAAATATCTACTTCTCAAGCTCTGAGTTAGGTGTCCGATGGTCCTTGAGCACTTCCTAGGTGCTTTGCGGATCGTACACCAAGGCGCGCAGTCGAATCTCTGGGGCCTGGCGTGCCCCTTCTATTGCACTGCGCCTGGGTTTGGAGGGCTAGCTGCCTCTTTTCTGCTGGGTATCATTCTTGGAACTGGTTTGGGCTTTTGGCTGGCCTTGCAGCTGCTACCAGGTGTGGGGGCGCCGACTGAGGAGCCCACGGAGGTCCGAGCGCCTCCTTTTCTGCCTGCCCTTCGCAGGCGAGCCCGGCTCCGAGCCTATTTGCATGAGTGAGCCCGATCACTCGTGGGATCTCTCCCTCGAGATTGAGGGCCTCTCCCTTAGGCTTAGGGGTATTAGGCTTAGTCCCGAGACCCGCACCGGCCAGGATCGCAGCTCCTCCCCTTCCTCTCTGTCTGGTTTTTCGGTTGTAAGCCATAGGCCCGAAACCCGTGTGCAACAGCCTGAGTCCACTGGCGACTCGGCTCCACCTGCCCTTCCTCGATTCCGTGCCTCCTCGGATCTCTCGCGCGGCTCCAGGCCTGATCCTTCCGGCCCCTCGTCTTCCTCAACCCAGGTTGTGCCAGAGTACCCCTTGCAGGGCTCGTCCCAGGCAACGAGGTTTGCGACTCGGCAAGCCCTTGCCCTCTCCTTCCCTGCCATCCCTGACCATCTGGTGGACTTGTGTCGGTTGCTGTCAGCTGCTTCTTTGGGTCCCGAGCAACGCGCCGGCCGAGCTTGGTTGGCTGGACTTTGGGCCCGAGCAGTGCTAGACGGCTTAGTTGACAGGCCAGACCCATCTGAACCTTTGGATTTGAGTTCGAGATACTACTGCGTTCTCCGGGCATCTGGTCTCACTCAGCCGGTTCTGTGCGGGAACCTGACTGCCTTCAGGCGCGTCGTCGGGCCTGAGCTGGGTCGTTCGGTCACACACGGCTTCCCTTCTACTTCCGAGTGCAGGGTCTACTTTGCGGCAGCTGCTGTGCCCTATCCTCACTCTATCCTGAGGTGATGGACTTTACCCAGCTCACTGCTTACGAAAGTGGAACCGTTGAGGTGGTGGAATTTAGCTGGCCTCCGCCTGTGGAGGGTCAGCAGCCGTCGAAATGCGCCTGCTATGTTATTATGAAGCGGCCTTCTGGATTTTTGCTGTGCGTTCCGGATGCCTTTCTGCCCCAGGAGGAGCTAGACTTGGGGCAGCAGCCGGGGGAGGAGCCTGGTATCGGCCCTTCTCTGGCGGTGACTGCTCCGCCCGTGAAGCTTACGGAGGAAGGGACCTGGGCGGCGGCGCCCGATCAGGAGAACGTCCCGGCCGTCGTGGTGGACCTCGACGATTTCATGGCCGAGCACCTGGGGCCGGCCGACCTATCTTCTCCGGAGATTGTTCCTTTTCGGGTCGACCATCCTATGATCTTTCCTCGGGCTTCGGAGGTTCTGCGGCTTTCGAAGATCTGGCTGGCAAGGGCGGACGCCCTCCCTGCGGACCGGGCGGGCTACCAGACGGCTGTCTCGACCGAGGCCCCGAACCCCAAGGAGAGAGGAGCCAAGCCCAAAAGGCCAACCGTGCAGCAGCTCGCCTCCCAGCAAGCGCAGATGATGCAGCTTATGACCTCGGTGGTGGAGAGGTTAGATGCAATCCAGCGGCCGCCGGCGCCTTCAGATCCTCCGCCTGTGCCTGCGGCTTCGGCGCCCCCCCCGGCCTCGAACCGGGCGGTCCTGCAGCAGCCCGTGTCAGCAGTTCTTCCGGCTTTTACTTCCCCGAACGTCCTGGCCCAGGCCATTGGGCCTCCTCCTGCTACTCGTGCTCAGGCAGCGGCTCCTCTCCAGGTGGACTTGGACGAAAGGGCTGCGGCGACCCTTGCCTTGGGGGAGCTGCCTGCCCGTCCTGCGGACACTTCCTTGGCGTCGGCCGTCTTGGCTCAGAGTCAGGCACTGGTGGCCTTGGTGAACCAAATCTCTTCGGGAGGGACCGATCCCCTCCTGGAAGCGCCAGGCCAATCGTCCTCGGTCCGGGGGTCTTTCGGGGCCTACAAAGCGCCAGGGAAGCAACGCCAAATAGGTGACCGTCGTGGGCAAAACTCCTGTGAATGCCTCCTTCGGGGTCCTTCTAGGTTCCTTCCCACGGGTCCTTTGTTATGCCGCGTGCACATCCCCAAAGGCTTCTGCGCCGTCGGCTCGGTGACTGACAGGCGCGACTTTTACACGCAAGCAAAGGTCAGCCCACAGAGGTCTTGGACAAACGCTGTCGGTCCGGCCCTCAAGCTCCGGTCTCTGCTGTGCACCTCGACCGGCCGAGAGCTCCTTGAGCGTGGGTGCTTTTGGGCCCCTGGCGTTGGGACTTCTTCCGCTCCTGGCTCTCCGGCACCCAGGCCTCTGCTTGTGTCTTCCGACACCGTCGTGCACCCCACCTTCCTTGCTTTACTCCAGGGCGATGCCGGTGGAGTTGAGTACGCTACTGCTGGACACCAAGGTCTGTTGGAGGCGTGGGGCTGCCTGCCCGCCGAAGGTCGCCTGCAGTCTCGCCACCGGGTCCGGCAGACTGGGCCTTGGCAGGGGCTGATAATTGACGATTTCTTCGCTTTGGGCGTCGAACCGTGTTCCTTCGTTTCGGGGACCAGCTCGGTTTCTTCCGACATCCTCCTTCAGGCCAAGAGGGCTTACGAGTCCGAAGGGGTGCTTGGTTCCGACGATAAGGACGTCTGGTCACAGAGGGTGTTCCGGGTTGCCGGTGCCGAGTTTGACTCTTCGGAGGCTACCGTTCGCGACGGCGCCACTTTTGTCGCCTACCCTGCCACCAAGAGGCTTGCCTTGGCCGCCGCCTCTTTGCGTGCTTCCGAGTGTCCGGTGTTGTCAGAGGAGCTCGTCTCGTGCTTGTCTGGGGCTTGGGTTGCTTGCCTGATGTACCGACGCTGTCTTATGTCGGCTTTGGACGGCTTGTTTGGTCTTGGCCGGCTGGCTTCTTCTGGGGAGCCGGGCAGCCCCCTTCGTCCTTTGCCTCGAAGGGTTGCTGGCGAGCTTCAACTCCTGGCTTTGCTCGCCCCTGTCGCTCAGAGCAACCTGTCGGCTCAGCCTTCTCGTCAGGTCTACGCCTCTGACGCTTCGCTCGCCCGCGGGGCTTTCTGCGTTGCCCCTGTTGAACCAGACCTCCTTCTGGACTTGTGGCTTGCTGCAGATTTCAAGGGTCATGCCGTCCGCCTCCAGGCTCCCCTTCCCGAGCCGACGCCCGACCCACTTGGACTTCCTGCCTCAAAGGTCCCAAAGCCCCTTGCCTGTCACTACGACTTCCTTGAGGTCAGTTGCGGCGCGGGGCATCTCTCTAGCCTCATCGGCCGGTGTGGCTTTGTCGTCGGGCCTGTCGTTGATGACGCCAGGTCTCCTCACTACTTCCTCGGCTCCTGGAGGCTTCGTGAGTGGGTCCTGTTTTTGCTTGCCGAGGGGAGGCTCAGGTCCATCGGCTTCGGCCCCGCTACCTCCTCTTTCTGTCCGGCCGTCTCTCCTCCTCTGCGTTCTCGGCAGTGTCCCGCCGGATTCGACAGGAGCGACCCTCGGACCAAAGCTGGCAACCTCTCTGTCTTCTCGTGCCTCGCTCTTTTCAGCGCTGCCCTTCGGTACAACGTGCCCTGTTTGCTGTGGGCGCCGGCCCGCTCCTACTGCCGTCTTCTTCCTGCTTGGCGGTCGATTGTGCATCGCGGCCTCGCTTCCGAGACGTCCTGTGCGAGGCCGGCTGGCTGTTCCGGGCGGAAGCTTGTGTTCCTCAGCCGTGGTGTCGGGGCTCCTTCTCGACTTGTCGTCCCTCCCGACTCGTCCCTTGAGGCCCCCGGGGCTTTTCGGGCTGTTGCTCAGCTTCTTTCTGAGGCCCTCTCCGAAGGCCCTGCCTCTCCTGCCGGCCACAAGGAAGGTTTCGAGAACGCCGTCGTGAACGATTTGCTCCTTTCCGCGCCTTGGCGTGTTGAGGCAGACTGGGCCTGGAAGAGGCGCTCTCACATAAACGTCCTTGAGACCTGCTCCGCATATCGTGTGCTTCTTCACGCCACCAAAGCCGGAGGCGATTCGAAAGAGGTCCTCTTGCTTGACTCTGCCGTTGCGAGAGGAGCCCTGCAGAAAGGAAGGTCTTCGTCGCGGCTGTTGCGTCCTGTGCTCTTGCGCTCTGCTGCTGTTGCCGTCGCTGGGGGGGTGCACCTTGGCATGCACCATGCTCCCACCAAGCTCAACGTTTCGGACGACCCTACCCGCTTTGTGCCCCTGCGAGCCCCGCTCCAGGAAAGACTTAGGGACTCCCTGTCGCGTGAAGAGATTGCTGCCTTGTGCCACTTTGGAGGCTTGTCCTCTGCCCGTGCCGCCTGGATCCGCCTATCCCTCCTCCTCGCCCGTAGGGTTGATAGTTCAGGTTTAGGCCCCTTCCTTAAGGCCCTCTCTAAGCCCCTGCGTGCCCAGCTGCCCCCGCCGCTTCCTGAACCCTCTAGGGAAAAGGACTGGCTTCCGCCGAGGTCCTTTGACTCTACTCTGGGTTTCCCAGGTGAAGGGCCGATTGAGCCCAGGAACGCTCAGGATCGTAAGCGTCAGAGCCTTCGGACCTCTACCCTCCTTCCCGAGGGCCGACTTGTGCAGCCGCAAACGCAGCAGAACCGGGTCATGCTCCTTGGCCTTTTCTCTGGTTGGCTTGCCGACAATGGTCACGGACGAGAGGCTTTCATGACCTGGGCTGCGGAGGAGGTCTCCCGTGCTCTGGAGAAGTACGGGAGAGAGCTTTTTGATGCGGGGCGGCCCTACTGGCATCTCTCAGAGACGATAAACGCTGTTGCTGCGCGCCGCCCGGTGCTTCGACGCCAGCTTCAGGGAGCATGGGACGTTGCCTTCACGTGGCTGGCGCTGGAGCCGTATACACACCACGTTGCGATGCCTGCCATTATACTGCTGGCCCTTTTGTCGGTCTGTCTGACCTGGGGCTGGAGGACAGAGGCTGGTGTTTTTGCTTTGGCTTGGGGCGCTCTCTTGAGGATTGGAGAAGCCACAAGCGCCATCAGGACGTCTTTGGTCTTGCCCAGGGACGTGCTGTGGAGCCAGGCTTTTATTTTGCTGCGCATTGGCGAGCCAAAGACCCGGCTTCGTAGTGCTCGCCACCAGGCTGCAAAAGTTGAAGCTTCCGACCTTGTCGTTCTCATCGACCTCGCCTTTGCCCAGCTTCCCGCTTACAGTCGGCTCTGGCCTTTCTCAGCCCAGACCCTTCGAAAGCGGCTTGACACTGCTCTCGAAGCCCTGCACATCCCTACCGCGAGGGCCAGTTCTAGACCGTTGGATTTAGGCTCTTTCAGGCCTGGAGGGGCAACTTATTTGTTGCAGTCCACCGAAGACTCTGAACTGGTTAGGCGGAGAGGGCGTTGGGTTTCTGGAAAAGTGATGGAGATCTATCTCCAGGAGGTAGCAGCTTCGGTCTACTTCCCCTCGCTGCCGTATGCCACCCGACAACGAGTGATGCAGGCCGCTGCTTGTTTTCCGGCTTTGCTTAACAAAGCCTCCTTGTGGACTCGGCACCGAATACCCACAAGTGCGTGGTACCACCTCTGGAGCTCTGCGAGCGTTGCCACTGGCGATGGCGACAAGGGGTCGTGACGGGGATGATGGGGTTTTCTTCTTTTCGGCGCTAAAGCTGTCGCTAAGCTCTCCGGCTTCAGCTGCTTTACCTGCGGGATGTACAGTTCCTCGCGGGCTCCGCCTGCAGCGCCAGTGGACGATCACATGGAGCAGAAAATGGAGGCTGAGCTTCTGAAAGATAGAAGCGAACGCCGAAATATCTGCTTCTCAAGCTCTCCCTACCCGCCCTCCCGCTTAACGAGCAGGGGTTTTCTTCTTTTCGGCGCTAAAGCTGTCGCTAAGCTCTCCGGCTTCAGCTGCTTTACCTGCGGGATGTACAGTTCCTCGCGGGCTCCGCCTGCAGCGCCAGTGGACGATCACATGGAGCAGAAAATGGAGGCTGAGCTTCTGAGTAGTTTAAGTTGAGGTCCAGGGCTTTGTAAAGTTTGGCAGCGGTGCTTTCCAGGCTTTCAGGGTGAAGCTAGAAGCATGTCGGCTTTGTAGTTATGTTTTCTCCTGAGGGTCTTTTTGCTTGATTGCAGCATCCCTCTTTAAGAAGCTTCGTTCAAAGTCCCCCGGTCGGGATATACAGTGATGATTTTTGCATTCTGTTGACCTACATCAAGTTCCTTAGCGCTGGTTCACCCAGGCTGGCTTCAAGAGCTTTGCTGGGAGGACCTCCCCAAAGTGAGCAGAGAACTGGAGTGGAAGACCTCAGAAGGCTGGAGACCATGGGCGCAACTGGGTTCTTTTTAAGGACTTTAGTTTACGTTACCATATTAGGGATCTATTGTACAAGGATGGTTTTTTACGTTACCACAAGAGGGATCTATGGTAAACAGTATGGTTTCCTTATTATGGTACCTGAAAATTAAACCCGTTAGCAAGAACCCAGGCAACGAGCTTGCGAGTCGCTTCGCAGTTGTTGTGGCGTGCAGGAGCTGGTTCTGTCAGTTGAGGAGGTCGGCTTCACACATGACTCCATCTCCACGGCTTTCAGGCAGGGCTCCGCCGCGGGCAAGGACATTGAATGCCTGGTGGAAGATCTTCGGTGGGGCCGTGTGGATCCTCTGCAAGATCCGGACCTCCTTATCGAAGCAGTGTGCCACAAGGGCCGTTTCTGGGTTCTTGTTGAGGGATTAGCTTAAGTTACCATAATCAGAGGCAGCCATATGATTTACTCTAGATCCCTATTATGGTAACTTACATTAAACTATTTTAGGGTTTAGGGTTTAGGGTTTAGGGTTTAGGGTTTAGGGTAAGTCCTTAACAAGATTCCAGGTTTCCTTTCACTGAACAACCGGCGGCTCTGGGCACTCAAGCAGCACAAGATCTTGCACGCCGCCTCCGAGGTGCGCGTGCGGCTGCGGGTCTTGCCCTGGAGCGACTCCGCCGTGACACGCTTCTGGGTTCCTGTTAAGGAATATAGTTTGAAAAGCTATAATCGGGGTTTATGGTAAATAATATGGATGTTTCGTTCTTATGTTTATTATGCTAACTGAGATTGAATCCCTTAACAAGAACCCAGGCTTCTTGCAGGCCTTTACCTCACAAGGCGAAACCGACACCGTCGCCTGCCGCACTGCACTGGAAGGTGCGCCTCCAGAGGCCGTGCTTGGAAGGGCAGGGGACTTAGTAAGTAGGTTATAAGTAGGATTTTAATTGGGGTAACTCCATTTGGGGTACTTATAACTCTACTCATAAGCTACTTACTAAGTCCCCTGCCCTTCCAAGCAGAGGCCGTGGTGGCCACGACCCTGGGCCGCGCCGTAATGGCAACAGCGGCCTCCAAGCTGGCGGAGACCCAGGGATATCGCGTGAAGGACCCTCCACAACCTCCAGTAGCAGAAACGAAGCTCGGGGAAGCACCTCCGGGACCAGGGCCATCAGAGCTGCAGCTGGGAGGAGAGACCTTCCCCAGCTGGCGCGAGGCGAAGGAACATCTGCAGGGGATCCTGCGCGCCAACAGCGGCGGCCGGCCGCTACCGGAGGTGGAATATCGTTTAGTGCTGGACGTTTTGCAGTTCCACCCGGATCCGCAAGCCAAGCGCCTCAAGGAGGTCACCAAGATCACGGTGGGGTCTTCGGAAAAGTTCGCAAACACCCCGTGTTTCTGGATCTGGCGGCAAGATGGCTCGGGTGAAGACATCTCTGTCAAAAAATGTTGGGACAAGCTGGACCTCATAGAGAAGTCCGTGGCGAAGAAGGACAAGCAGCGCGATGCTCGGCTTGGTCGAGGATTTACTCTAAGTTGCCATAATTAGGGAACCTCCTTAGTTACCGTCTTGCTGCCTGTCTGGCAGCTTAACTCAAGGTCCTTAGCAAGAGCCCAGGACGTGTTGGCTGCAGGGCAGCGCTTCTCAGGAGTCCTGGAGAGTTGGACCATTGGCCCAAAAGGGCTGAACTTCGGTTGGCTTCGCTTGGATTCCGTGCAGGAAAGACAAGTCCCCAGAGAGGTGGATGGCCAGAAGTTGTACTTGGAATGGTCTGACGTGGCTGCGCAGAGCCAAGCTCATGTGAATGCCAACCGCGCCAGCAAAGAGCAACCTCCGTTCAAAAAAGGCCAGCGATTTTCCTGTGTCCTTTATCAGTGGCACGAAAATGGGAAACTCGGGTGCAGAAGTGCAGAGTTGCTTCGGCCTTATCTGCAGTGACCCCGAGGTTCGATTTTTTAGATGTGCAGGGTATCCCTCGGATGTAACGGTGGGGCCTGGTGCTAAGTCTGCTGTGCTATGGAATACAGGGCCCGACACAATTACCAATACTTTTGAGGGGGTTCCTGATTATAGTTATCCAAACTCTATTGCAACTATTAAGGCCCCTATGTTAGGGAGATCTTGTCCATGGGGCCCTCATAGCCGCAGCGAGCAATTTTCACATTGTGTCCCGAATTGGCACGCTCCTGCGTAGTAGGCCTTTGCGTGCTTGAAGCGCGTGTGCAGGTCGTCTGTGGTGCTTCAACCACAGGGGGCGAGTGCACAAGACCATCTGCAAGACCCTGTGGCTTCGCTGAGAAAAAGAGGGAAGGCAGGGTCAGCCTGATCAGAATTTGTGCCAGCTTTGACCTAAAAACTCAACTCGGATTTGCGGTCTCCCACTCCTCGCGGCAGATATAGGCAGACCAGGATTCGGTAACTTGAGCAGCGCAGGAGTCGCCGCTCGTACTTTATGCCGTGGTGGAGTGGTGGCGGTGCTTTGTTCGAGAACTTGTGGTAGGCTAATTTCTCGCTGCTTCTCGGTTTTGCCTGAACCCTAAACCCTCAACCCTCCCTTCACTTATATTGGGCTCAAGCCATTCCCTCAGATTTTTTGCGTGTGCCTTTCTTGCAGAGCCTGCAAAGCCGCCATGGACCTAAATCCTTTGGCTACCTACGTCAAGGACACGCCCAAGCCTAACCCGAAGCCTCTCCAAGCCCCTAAACCCCAATCCGTAAACCTCAAACCGCTACCCCAAACCTTAAACCTCAAACCATTAACCCTAAACCTTAAGCCCTAGGTCAGACCCTGAACCCGGAACCCCAAACCCTACATCTCAAACCGCCACCCCCAAACCTTAACCCCCCTTAGACCCTGACCCCTGAACCCTGAACTCCGAGCCTTACACCTAAACCTTAGACCCGACCCCTGACCCCTAAACCCTAAACCCTAAACCCTAAACCCTTTGGACTCTGACCCTGAACTCCAAGCAGCCTCGCAGCCTCGAAGGAGAGAGAGGGCAAGCGGGTCATCCGCAGGATCCTCATCTCGAACAATGGCATGGCAGCGGTCAAGGCGATCTTGTCCATGAGGAGGTGGGAGATTCCAAAAATTAGGGGTACCTTCTTTGGGGGTCCTTATAATAATAAGGATCCTACTATTTAGGGTACTATATTAGGGTCCCCTATTTTCGAAACTCCCAGGTGGACCTTCACCGAGTTCGGGTCGGAGCAGCTTATTACTTTTGTGGCCATGGCGACGCCAGACGACCTGAACGCGAACGCCGAGTTCATCCGCCTTGCCGACTCTTTCGTCGAGGTCCCCTCTGGGAAGAACGTCAACAACTATGCAAATGTCGACCTGATTTGCAAGATCGCACAGGAGCAGCAGGTGGATGCCGTCTGGCCCGGTTGGGGCCACGCCAGTGAGAACCCAAAGCTCCCCGCCAAGCTCAAGGAGATTGGCATCACCTTTATCGGACCCCCCTCCGGAGTGATGGCAGCCCTGGGAGACAAGATCGCGGCCAACATCCTCGCGCAGACCGCTAAGGTTCCGAGCATCCCATGGAGTGGTGATGGCCTCACCTGCACCCTTACGGACGAGGGCACCGTTCCAGACGATGTCTTCAACAAGGCGATGGTCCGCACGGTCGAGGAAGCCGTGGAGCGGGCCGAGAAGGTTGGGTTTCCGATCATGGTGAAGGCCTCCGAGGGTGGTGGTGGCAAAGGCATCCGAAAAGCCACGAACATGGAGGAGCTGAAGGTGGCCTTCACGAACGTGAGCGCGGAGGTGCCAGGCTCTCCCATCTTCTTGATGCGGATGGTCTCGAAAGCACGCCACTTGGAGATCCAGATTTTGGGCGACGAGTACGGCAACACCCTGGCGCTGAACGGCCGCGACTGCTCCACCCAGCGGCGCTTCCAGAAGATCTTCGAGGAAGGCCCTCCGACCATCGCGAAGCCGGACGTCTTCCACGAGATGGAACGGGCGGCCATGCGCTTGACTGCGCTGGTCAGCTACCGCGGCGCCGGCACTGTGGAGTATCTCTACAGCCCGGAGACTGACACCTTCTGCTTCCTGGAGTTGAACCCGCGTCTGCAGGTGGAGCATCCCGTGACCGAGGCTATCACCGGAGTGAACATGCCCGCCACTCAGCTGCAGATCGCCATGGGCATCCCGCTCTACAACGTCCCCGACATCCGAAGGTTCTACGGCATGGACCCAGCCGTCTGCTCCAAGATCGACTTCTTCGCCGTGGACTACCCGCCGATCACTTCGCATTGCTGCGCCTCCCGCATCACCGCCGAGAATCCCGACGAGGACACTAAGCCCCAAACTGCCCTTTAACCCAAAACCCAAAAACCTTACACACCCTAAATCCCAACACCCGAACCTAAACGCTCTAAACCCTAGAGGAGAGGCCCTAAAACCCGGAGATCCCTCAACCAGGGCTTCCAGACCCCTTAAACCCTGAGCCCCAAACCCCAAGACCAAACCCCAAACCCGAAACCCGAAACCCAAACCCGACAGGGCTTTAAGCCCACCAGTCCTGACCAAACCCTAAACGGCTTCAAGACCCCCTAAACCCTAAACCAGACCCCCTTAACCCCAAGCCCGAAGCCCCCAAACCCCAAAGCCCCAAAGCCCTCGAAGCCAGGGCTTCAAGCCCACCAGTGGCAAGATCAACAGTGTTCGCTTCCAGTCTGCCGGCGACTGCTGGGGCTCCCCGGCGCGCCGGCGGTTTTGCTAGGTAGTATTGGGGAGGGGTTTAGGGTTAAGGGTTTAGGGGGTTTAGGGTTTAGGGTATTAGGGAGACCCTTAAAATTTGCCCCTTCTGAACCCTACTTCTGGCTCTCTTAAAAGGGGCCTTATTGAGAGGGTCTATATCCCCAAGGGTCCCCCTAATCCTAACTCCCATTGTCTCGGAAGTCTCGGGTCATTTTGTCGGAGTTGGGGCTCTTGAGGGTTACCAAGGGCTCTATATGGGGGGTTGTCAAAATTATGATCCCTTTTTTGGTCCCTAATAAAATACGGCACCTAATATTTAGGGTACCCCCTAAAGGGACCTTGATTTTGACAATCACCCATATGAGCGTTCTATATACAATGACAACCTAAGCCTTAGACCCTCAAGGCACTAAGCCCGAAACCTGAAACACTAGACCCGAAACCCTAGACCCTAAACCCTATATAACGGCTCTAGTAGGGTTCAAGAAGGGCTGCATGGCAGCGAGGTTTGGGGTGAAGGATTAACGATGGGTTTGGGCTGTTAGGGCTTTGGCTATAGCTTGTAGGGTTTAAGATTCATACAGACTTTCGGGTTGGGGGTGTGGTGTTATATAAGGACTTAGGGTAAGACTCCACTACCGCCATGAGGAGATCGGTCGGAACGCCAACACCCTGAGTCCTGACCCCGTCTCAAGCCCCAGGCCATGCCCCAAATTTACTGTATCACAAAGCTCCCAAAGCCCAAAGAGATAGTCCGAGTATGCTTCCCTTTTTAGAACCCCTATATGACCGTTATTCAGCCTTTGCGAAAACCTTGTAGAACCTCAAACATATTCTTGTTGTGATGTTGATAGAGCCCGCATGACTTCATGTAACCCATATTGTTTGAGCCCTAAGCCCCAAACCCTATAGATCTCGAGATATAGCCCTTCTTGGGTAATGCCGAGGCTGCTTCAGCATCGAAACCCTAAAGCCTAAACCTTAAACCCTAACTCTGACTTAAGCCCTGCACCCTAGACTTAAAACCTAAAAAAACAGAGCTCAAAAAGAAACTGTAAGCACCTTTTTTTTTTTTTAAGGACCTCTCTTGGCTTCATCTGCCCCTCTTCACCGAACGCCGAGGCTACTTCAGCGTCGGCCTGAAGGGCGGGATCCACGAGTTCGCGGACTCCCAGTTTCTGGGTTTAGGGTTTAGGGTTTAGGGTTTTGGGTTTAGGGGTTTAGGGTTTAGGGTTTTGGGTTTAGGGGTTTAGGGTTTAGGGTTTAGGGTTTAAGGTTTAGGGTTTGAGCAACCTTTCTGTAGGTTACGGTTGATCTTAGGGGTACCTAGAAATATTTGTTAAGTTTTGGTTATTATAATCCCTAAGAAACAGCTAAAATTGTAATTTTTGCTAGGGTTCTAAGTTCTGCATGACCCATAAGAAGGAATATACCATAATTCCCATAGTTTCGGGTCCTTAAGGTCATGCAGGATTTATATCATCAACCGTGACGAGTAGGGCTCATAGTTGTTTAGGTAGGCTTCAGGGAATGAACTGTTTAGAGTTTAGTTTTGTCCCGAAGTTCTAGAAAGGCTTATGTTCCTTATCCAAAAGTGTCCAGGTTCGGTCACATCTTCGCGAAGGGCCCCAACCGAGAGGCGGCGAGAAAGAGTCTCGGCGACAAAAAAGCGCCAATCATACTATTAAGAATAAGATAAAGATGCATAGTATTGAATAGTACTCAGGAGGGTTTGGTAATAGGGTTTCTGCTTTATGGTTTAGAATTATGTGTGCGTGTGTGTTTTTTTTTTTTGTGTGTGTGTGTCTCTGTTGTCAGCCCTAGTCCCTCAACCCCAACCCTTAAACCCCACATTCCCCAAACCCTAAGCCCTTAACCTCTGAACCCCAACTTAAACCCTAGAACCCTAAACCATTTAGCATTGCCCCGAACCCTAAACCCTGATCCCTAAACCCGAAACCCTAAACCCGAAATCCTAAACCCGAAACCCTGAACCCTAAAGCCTTCAACCCCGAGTCTCCACCAGCCCCGAGGAGTCTCCGCTTCGCGCTCATGAACCTGGACATCTCCGGAGACTTGAGGGTCTTGTGGGTTTTGCGGGTTTTGCGGGTTTAGGGTTTAGGGGTTTAGGGGTTTGGGGTTTAGGGGTTTTGGGGGTTTTGGGGTTTTTTGGGGGTTTTGGGGGTTTTGGTTGTTGGGGTTCAGGGTTAGGAGTTTAAGGCTTTAGGGG